CACACACACCACACACATCACACACATCACACACATCACACACATCACACACATCACACACATCACACACATCACACACATCACACACATCACACACATCACACACATCACACACATCACACACATCACACACATCACACACATCACAACACACACACACACACACACACCCCACACACACACACACCAACACACACCACACACACACGACAGCACACACACACCAACTCCAGGACACAACACACACAAACACACACACACACACAACACACACATCTCACACTCCTCACACACATAGTCACTAACATAATTAAGACTTTCCTAAACATTCCGACACACACACACACACACACACACTCTCACACACACACACACACACACACACACACACTCACACACACACACACACACACACACACACACACACACACACACACACACACACACACACACACACACACACACACACACACACACACACACACACACACACACACACACACACACACACACACACACACACACACACACACACACACACACACGCGCGCGCACACGCGCGCACACGCGCGCACACGCGCGCACACCCGCGCACACACGCGCACACACGCGCACACCCGCACACACGCGCACCCACGCTTGCACGCATGGACACAAGCACGCACGCATGCACGCATGCACGCACGCGCACATGCACACGCGCACACACGCACACATGGCCAGGACCTCACAGTGCATCTTGGTGGTCAAGAGCCACCGCCGGTGCCGGAACAAGGCCAAAGACAACTTGCGTTGTTCTGATTATGCGTTTGCAACTCAGCATACTCAGCCATGCCTGCGCATCAACCTGTGTCTACGCAAAGCACCGGTCCGGAAGGCAGTCTGGATCTAAATGATGTGAGAGCCAGCAGGCGCCCAGAGATCCAGAAAATCCCACAGTCGGGTCACAGCTTGCGTGTGTTCGTATTTGCAGGTACTTCTTCGCGTGACGTCGTGCAGTCAAGGACTCAAGGAGTCGGACACGGAGCTTGCCATGCAGAACTTCGTCGTCCGTGCACATGATCCTCTGATCCTTGCGCCGAGATGAACTGGAGCACGTGGTCACATCGGTAGAATCACGTGCAATCCATGTGGGCAACTGGCGGTCCACGCAGTCGTGTCGCTGCTGAGGCTTGGGATTCGGGAATGTTAGGGGTTGGATTGAAAAGTTCAGGGTTTAGGTGGCCGATTCCTTTGCGTCGACAAGCGACAAGCAAGTGGACGTGTTAATGACCAGTTCGCACTTGCAAGAGTAACTTCGTGCATCGCACAAGCATTCTGTCATGATTCGACATTGCTTTGCGGTCCGAAAGCCGTCAAGACGGGCTCGCAAGTGGAACAAAACTTGCGACAGTATCGTGATGTCTGTGACCTGAAACGTGTGGGCACTGGACAGCTTTTCTGAATGGGAAGAGATTTGCTCCTCGACACCGTGCCTCTCAAGCGTTGCACCTTTCCACTTCTCACCTGCCGAGTCTCAAGATGAAGGCTGGAACAGTGTAACACACCCATTATTCAATCACTATATTCGCACTATTCACTAGTCGTAGAGTGATTCTTCAGTCACTTGTCACAGGCCCTTGAATTGAGCCTGGAGGACCAGGTCGCATTGGCGGTGCAGTTGCTTGAACCCATCGTTGCTTGCTGTGCTTCTCTGCAAAGGCGCAGACGCAGCGTCTGCAAGAGTCCCTCGCTGAGCGCGAGAGAGGAGGTCCCCACGAGCAGACAAGGCCTGGCCGCGATTCACGTACTGTCCATAGCCAAGGCGTCACATTTCAACACCGCGAATTGAGCTTCACGCAATGCAGGCCTAAATAGTGTGATGCGACGAAGCCATTTTGGCTCATACTTTTGTCAGAGAGACTTGCCGCACGCTCCTGCTCGTACCTCCAGCGCATGGGCCACATGGACCACACGAGGATTTTGTTTGGCTGCCTCTCTTTGCTTTGCTTCAGCTGCCCAATAGTTGATGCGAACCATGGGTACAAGAGCTCTCGCCCATGGCTTCCTCGCACCGCCCCCACCAATTTGGTGACAGCAGATGCGCTGGTCTCTCAAGATGAGCTCCCTGAAGCCTTCGACTGGAGAAATGTAGGTGGGCAGAACTTCGTGACTAGCGACGTGAACCAACACATTCCCCAGTACTGTGGATCTTGCTGGATTCATGGAACCACTGCTGCGCTCAATGACCGCATCAAGGTCATGCGCAAAGGACAGTTCCCGGATGTCATGCTGGCAAGGCAAGTCTTGATGAATTGTGTGCCAGATCCCACCGCCAATGTCAGCGCCCCTCCGCCCGGATGCAACGGCGGAGACCCCTGGATGATCCACAAGTATCTGAAGGAGAATGACGTGCCGGATGAGACTTGCATGCCATATCAGGCCCGAAACATGCAATGCACTCCTGCGGACCAGTGCCGGAACTGCTTGTCGAAGCATGGCTGCTGGCCCATCAAAACCTGGACAGGGTACGGCGTTAGTTCGTTTGGCAATCTGTCTGGGGAGGTGGCAATGATGAAGGAGATCTATGCAAGAGGACCTATTGTCTGCTCGTTTGCAACGGATGACGTGTTCATGATGAACTACAGCAAGGTTGCCTCAGAAAATGATGGAGTGTACACTTCCAACAAAAAATATACCGATGATGATATAGATCACAGCATGGAGGTAGCTGGGTGGGGCAAGACAGCTTCCGGAACAAAGTATTGGATCATACGCAACAGCTGGGGGACCTACTGGGGCAGCAGCGGCTGGTTGAAATTGAAGCGCGGTGTCAACATGCTTATGAGCGAGCCGGCAGCTGAGTTTTGCATGAAAACACGCTGTAGACTGTAGACAATGCTGACATGCAGGTCCAAGCATTGAGCTTTTTGCCGAAGAACGCCATCTTTCGTCTTTAGTCTTGATACTTGATACCGCTTGATTCTGCAGCAGCTGGTTCGGGTGGTTCTGGTTTCTGGGTGTGGCCCTGTTGCACCTGTTGCTCCATGTTGCGCTAGGACCCACGAATGGATATGTACATATATATATATAGACACACACATGTGTTTCTGCATATATGCATGCACTGTATGTATGCATGTGGGATTACATATGGGTAGAAGATAATGTTGCCAAGATCTTGTCCTCTGCGTTTCACAGCCACCTTGCGCGTGCCTTGTTGTATCGAGCGACGGTTCTAGGCCTTTATCGATCTTGTTGCTGACCTTGAATGAGCCCCCTTTTCCCAAGCTCGAGGTCTCAGTGCGACTGGGCTGTTCCAAGATTTCCTGAGTTGGACGAAGTGCTCGCAGGCCACGTGCTAGGCAGCTACATGTCGGGCACAACTACGCGTGTAGATGATCCGCAGCTTCAAGCTGTTCTTGCAGCTCCTGCTGCAATGGTCAGCACAACTTCATTTCGTTTGCGATGTCCAGAGCTGCCGGCATTGGTGTGCACCTTCTCCCTCGGGATTGCTGTCGCAGCACTGGTTTCTCAGCTCGCCCGGAGAGGCGCAGTCAAAGCAGAGCCGCTTCTTGGCTAGTGCAAGAGGTGGAAGATGACAAGATGATCTTTCAGGAAAAAAAGCTGGGGAAGTGTCCGCATTCCTTTCACTCCTTTCAACTCAAGTCAAGACCCAGTCACCAGTCAACGCTTGCAAGAGTTTTTGCCAGATCCAAGCCGTCACGGCTGAGATATACTCGCCTTGGTCTTGGTTGTTGCCATTGCCAGACACCAGTGAAGCCTGCAAGAATCTTGAGGTAGCTGCGACATCTTGGATTCCACCTTGGAGGCGCAACTTCCGGGCCTTGTTCAGCCTCCTCAGGTCCCTTTGAGTGCTGGCCACAGGAGCCCCTGGCATACTACAAGTCCTTGGAGCCAATCAAGCCTCACTGGCCACGTGCATGGCGAAGGCAGATCAAGTGAGCCAAGTGAGCAATGCCCCCGCAGCCCTCGTGCATTCGGCATCCATGGGGCTGACAGGCTGCATCTGGTTGACGGCATCCGAGTCAGAGACATGGCGCGGTTCTGAGTTTGCGTGGTGCTGCAGGAGTGTGGTTTGAGCGCATGCTCCATGTCTGCCTTGTCTGCAGGATACTGTAGTCGTTGAGTCTCGCAACAGCCTCTCCAAGACAAAGAAGGGCCTCTTGAGGCCGCCATTCAGAGCGCCCTTCCTTTTTTGGATTCAACAAGTGCGGTCATTGTACAGCTGAGCTGAAGGTCCTCCAGCGGGACAGTGACATACTCCAGCACACATCGCCTGAAGGAGCGATTGTCACGGGTAGGCATTGTAGTGGTCACGGTGTTTGGTGCAGACGATCTTCAGCCTCCAGTCTCAATATGAAAGCAGGTTGACCTGGATGCGCAAGAGATTGCCTATATTCTCGGTGATGGAGTGCCAGGCCTGCATCTGGTTGCCAGGGAAGGATGCGGCATCTTCGGGCGGTAGAGACACGGCGAGCATCGCCATCGGCATAAGTGGTCATGAACACCATACGGCAGCTCAAGACAAGCCTAGCCAAGCATCTTGACTCCAACATTCTCAGCAAATGCTTACAGAGGATTATGAAAAGTCTTTCAGAGCATTGCTTCTGCAGGAGGCGGCCATGCGTGGACGCCATCCAGGCCAGACAGAACTGTTAGGGATCGCGGCTTGTGGCAGAGCCGCGTGCTTACCGGAACCAGTGCTTACTGGATCCAATACACTAGACCTCGCAAGCCTCTAACCGCCCCAAGTCGACACCATCCCCAAAGCACTTTGGACCTAAGAAGTCAAAACCCTGAACAACGTAGCCCTCAGCAGCAGCAGCAGCGGCGGCGGCGGCAGCAGTGGCAAGAATGTTGTACTCCAGTGCTTTCTGGTTTGTGCTAGTTTGTTGATTTTGTCTCTAGCCTGCAGCTTGCATAAGGCCGAGACCATGCAGAAGAGGTTCACACCAAGCCTCACCTAAACTTCAGCCCCAAAGAACCCCGATTAACAAACAACCTGCAGCCCTAGAAATGCTGGAAGTCGACTAGGGTGTAGGGTCTCGTTTGGCCTTGAGTCCTAAACCTGACGGCGGACGGTGGTCGGCTTCGCACAGTTGCAGACGAGGGTCGCGGCGAGCTGTCGCACCATGGAATGTTTCGCGGGTTTGGGGCCAGTTTGGGGGAGCGTTGGCTCTGTGGCCTTCGGAGCTCCCGCGCAAAAGGTATGGCCATCTTTGCTAGTCTATTGTTATCCGATTGGATAAGTGAACTGGGGCAGCTCTGTGTGGCCTGTGGCTTGAAAAGAGCACTCGTTTGACGGAAACGTTCGCTAGCCGGACACGCCTCAAGCCAAACCTCATCTTCCAACATGCTCGTTTGGAGGTAGCGATGGCCGCATGACATTCAGAGAGGGCCGAGACTCTTAGGAAGGTTCGTTGGGCTCATGGAACCTTCTTCAGGTCATGTGCGTGGGTTTGATGTCTACAATCGCACGACATCGCATGCACTCCGATACTTGCCACAAGACTGTCCCGAGCTTCAAGTTGTGTTGGCGTGCGGAACATCTGTGTGAAACACCCTGCAGTGTCTGAAACGTCATCAAGAGTGTTTTGCAGAGATTTGTGGCAAGCCCATGGCGGGATGGGCCGTACCACTCTACCCGCGTAGCGGGGATGTGATGTTTGCGGCGGTGGAAGAACCGAATACGTAGAACATAGCAGCCGAGCCGTGATTACTGTATCTGTAGTTGTCGCTGGATTTGCATGAACATGCGGAACTTTGGCAGCAATGTTGCTTCATACTGCATACTGTTTACACAGCTGTTGTTGCCGACAGACCCATAACAGCGGTCTCGACAGGCTAGCTGTCGAGTTCAGAACAAGAACTGGCAGACCCGGCGTGTGGATGCACTACGATGTCCCTCAGCCTCGGTTAGCCTCGGTTGAAAGGGTTGGCAGCTCACAAGCCCTGCGCGGCAATCCCATCCCCCATCATTTGACTTGCCAGATTGGGCTAGCCTCCTTTCTCCTCCTCTTCCCGAAGACCTTCGAAGTGTGCCTTTGCTGCGTTCAGAAGCGATCGAAGTTGAACAACAGACACCTTTTGCAAGCGGCGATGGTCAGTGCTTCACGATATACTGCTGCATGTTGCTGGTCGCTTCATCGGCATAAAGAGTGAGCCAGATTGGAGTCTGACCAGAGAACGTAGTGAAGCTGACTGATACGTGCTGTGCATTGTGCGCTGCCTCCAGCCGATATGGACCACTTGCTGGGCTGGCGTAGTAATTAGTTGCGGAACGTTGCGGACTTGTGCCATTTGCTTGCTTTGCTTGCTCCACCGGCGCCAATTGCGGTGCAGAAGCTTTTCTGCCCAGACCCGGCGAAGAGGAAAAATTAAACTAATGCAGCGAGCGGCCTTGCCTTGCGCACTCTCTTCCTTGCTCATTAGACTTGACCAAACTACCGAGGTTCGGACCGGCGAACGAATATGTGCGCCTCGTGCGAAAGAATTGCCGAACACTCCTTGACAACGTGGAGGCTCTGTGAGAGCACAGAGCTTATGGACCTAAATCTTGTGGGATGTTGCGTCATGCTGCGGCCAGGATGCTATGGTGCGGCTGGCAATGGGCCGCGAGGAGCCATTGCGCTTGAAGTTGTTCATCTGCCAAGCGGTTTTTGCACAGGATGGACGGATCCACTACAACATAGCAGACAGTGCTTTCCAGGGTACGGAAGACAAGGCGCCCGCCCGCTTGCTCAAGCTCGTTCACCGACTCGCTGACTCACTCGCCCCTTCTCTGTCAGACTGACTGGCTGACTTCAGCCTTTTGACTGGCATGATTACGTCACTTGCGTCTTGACTTAGTCAGTCATTCCAAGTCATGCCGTTCTGATTTTCCGGCTGCAGTGGATCAAGCACATGGACGATCTGAGCTTCGCCAGCGCCAGCCCAAAGGCCGGCGGAAGTTTCATCCGCCAGGAAATGCCAGATATGACTGCGGTTTGCTAATGACTGCAAAAGGCTCACATCCTCCCTCGGCTGACCACACACCGACTGAAGGTTCCCACCTTACAAGCTTAGTGCAGATTTCCGTAGTTGCATCAGGGGTATGCAGGGTCGTGACTGTCGACTCTCTCAAGGCGGCCTATGTGAAGTCGAACGAAGCCGCAGCAGCACCGGAGAGGTCGCATGCGGTGGCTTTGTTCTATCCTGTCATTGCATGCCATTCGGGAAGTTCCTGAGCTAGTCAAATATACCGGCATGTGTTTCGAGTAGAAAGCAATACCCTGGCCTTGAAAGTGCGCCATTTGCTGTGTTAGGGGGACTGGTATACTCGGGTCATCTCAGGTTTACCTTGTTTCTGCTGCTGCTGCTGCACTGATGTGACTGCTGCTCGTTGCGACGGGTGCTACTGTGTTCGATGATGTTCGATGCAGGACATCCAAATCTGACGCTCTAGGCCTGCCGCTTTCCATAGGCTGTGAAGATTGTTGCAGTGCTTGCTTCCGTCCGAGTATGGACTTTCCTGACTAGGATTCGGCAACCTCGGCTGAGAGCGCTCTGCCAACAGTTTCACGCTTCGCACCATAGGTGCAAGGATTCGCATTGCCGCATTGATGGCTCGCATGTACGAAAATCCTGACCGGGATGTGAATGCACGCGTGCAGGATCGGGACCGTAGATTTGTTTGTATTATTGTTCTTGGTGAAGGGGTATTAATCTACCCGATACAGAGCATGTGTATCCAGCTTTCCTAATATGTGCATATATATGTATATTTATCATATACCTATATACATATATGGTCACGTGCTCCCCGGCCCTCCCCCCTTCCCGTGGTCGGCTGTGGGTTGTTCTTGGGGCCAATAGGGTTCCAGGGTTTTAGGGCTGAAACTCTTGCGGGCTCAGGGTTTCAGGGTGCTCGGCTTGAGGGCTTGAGGGTTTCGGGGTTATGATCAAAGTACTCCCCCGACCCCCCTCTTCCAGTGGTGTGGCTGTGGGGCTGTTTAGGGGTTTGGCTTAGGGCGCTGCGTTTTAGGGTTTGAAGCTTAGGGTTTCTGGGCTTGGGGTTTTGGGGCTTAGAGGGGTTTAAGGTTCAGGGTCTTTAGGGTTTGGGCTTGGGGATTCCCTACAACACACCCTGTCACCCCAAGCAAGCAGGGCTCCCCCCCCCCCCACCGGACCATGCCATGGGGGAGGAGGGGGCTGGACACGTCAGACGTCTGATGAGTGTGCATGTTGGTATATTTTCTGGACATACTGGTACTAGGGTACTGGTACGAGGAATAACAACCCGACCTAATATGAGGCTGCTCTCCCCACAGAGATGCAAGATGCAGATTCATGATGGCCAAAGAACGGCGAGGCAACTTACGTGCAGGCACAACTGTCAAAGATGATCAAAGATGGTCAAGATGGTCAAAGCAGAGGATGCAACATCCTTCAACATCCTTGAACATGCCTTTTAAAGAAGAGGTTGAGATGTGGTAGTCTTGCAAACGCGGCCGTCATCCATGGAGTCAGAGCATGCCTCAGCTTCGAAGGTTGAGTGGGTTTCAACATGTTTTCAGGCCTTTTTCGCCTGTCTCATGAAACCTCTCCGGTACGGGTGTTTGGGCAAAAGGACACGCTGCCCTACGATGGTGACGGAGCGGCCTGGGAAGGATGGCAGGCCTCTGTTTTCTAGGGGAAAAGAGGCGTTGGGGTTGCGTTGTGTGACGATGTGTGACGGCTAGTTGATCAGCTTGCAGGTGCCGGCCTATTCAACGTCTGGTTGCAAGAACCAAGCGTTCGAGGTGCAGCAGCATCTCAATCCCAGCTATAGAATCACATAGAACATATGATGCTTGTGAGGTTGGCTTCAAGCCCCCACAGGCTGAGAACGATGCTGTTGCACCGATGCCCATCTGAAACAAGTCAATACAGAGTTCAAGGACATGGCTAACCTTTTCACTGGGAGTGCCTTTTTGCCTTTTGCAAAGGACCATACCATACGACACCGTCTTCGACATGGGCCCAGAGGTAGACGATGCAGCCATGGTCATCGGCCAAGTTTGCGTCATGCTGTAAACTGTGGGGCTTTTTGGGTTCAGGGTGGGTGTATCGGTTAGCGGAGCTCGTGGATGTTGGCACGACTGCGGCTGCATGATCCTAGGACACGACCCGATGCCACTGGGGGCCGGGATGGGTTCCATAGTTCCGAGGTTGGAGATGCCACGCTCGCCTACGAAGCCGGTCCAGGCTTGCCTGCCCTGTGACTATGACACCGGGACGAGCACACACAAAGACGGATGTCTCGCGAGGTGAAGTGCCGGAAGTAAGTACCCTGACCAGTATGCCTCCGCCCGCGTTGCCACTGTCTCACGATGCTGCTGGCTAGTTGGAAACACATTTTATTCCACGGTGTTGCGAGAACTAGTAGCCCCAAAAAAGGTCACACCCAGCGCCTGCCAGTGAGCAAGAGGCGCTGCCCCTTCTCAAGCCTCTTTTTATTGTGTGAGTTGTGGCAGATGCTGTCAGATACTGCTTATGTGAGGCTCCGACACTGGCATATGGAGACACACTTGTGCGGAGCCTCATCACGTCACATCTATGCACTGGCAGTTCACATGTGATCATCTCAGTCCTCAAACTCAGGTTTTACATCCGGAAGATGCGGATCAGGCAAATGACTGCTTTGGGAGTTTCTGGGTCATCCAAGCGCTGTGCAGAGGCAGTGCCTGAAGCTGATGCACAACGTCCGAGTTGTGCATCCAGCAATGAATCCGCGGCGGCACCTGACAACGTCACTTGTAAGACGGATGCAGCAGCGACAAAGTCTGGTCTTCGGCTTCGGCTTTGGTGCAAGCAGCCACCGCCAACAGGAACGGCGAGCGAATGGCAAGACGAGTGGTGCCGTCCTTCACATACATTCATACATTCTGGCAGGATATGTGCCTCCTGCTCTGGCATCCCGGCCACCAGCCAAGGCGTCTTCTTCGCGCTTAAGACATGTTAAGTCAATCTACATGGAGTTGTGGCAAATAGGGGCACGTGTGCCAGGCACGGGCGTCTGCTCCTGCAAAGAGGCGCGAGTTGTCGGAAACAGATGTGCTGAGCAGCGTATTTCGCATACTATACCCTCCCCAGACTGAATTGACTGCGTCTCAGTCTTGAAGCGGTGGAAGACCTCAGGACATCCTGTGCCAGGAAGCTTAACTATACTCAACTGCGGGATGTTAAAGGGAAAGCGCGATATGCGCGATGCACTTTGCGGACTTTACGGAGGCCGGCGCCGGCCGCTGAGCAGACTCCCAAGCTGGTGGGCTGCAGAGCCTCGGGCTCAGCTAATGGTCTTGCCATTATGGATGAGAGCGAGCTTCTGACAAGATAAGAGCTGAGGTTGCAGTCACTGGTGATGGCTGGGGTGGTGGAATCGGAGGGTCCTCCCGATCGTATTGATCAGCGCACGGTTTCTTGCCTTCCTGCAGAAAATCTGCAGAGGTACGAGGCCACGGTGGTGGACTCTGATGACCTTTCCTTGACGGTTATCTTCAGGGACGATGACAAGAAGTGGAAGGCCGCGCTTGCATCTGCAAAGTCTACATGAGTCTACATGAGTCTACATGAGTCTACATGAGTCTACATGAGTCTACATGAGTCTACATGAGTCTACATGAGGGTACCGCGACACTCTCCGATGCAAGGAGACCCACGTTCTACGTCAACACTGTGAGCTCATCGATGCTCCGCAGCCTGAGGTCATTGTTGTCTAATGGCTTGCTGTTGTTGGGTTTGCTGTGATCCGTGTAAATGTGCTGTTGTCGCGTGAAGCAGCCACACCTTCTTGCATGTAATGAGCCTCCGAATGCCTCGGACCCTTTTGAAGCTTCAACATTTCTAAACATTGCTTTGAGTACCAGCGTGCAGCACCATGTTGGATCGTTTTAAGTGCTCCGAGGGCTGGAGTCGACCGCCCGATGCTTGTACTCGTGTTTATGACGTAATTAAGATACAGAAGATGTGCCCAGAGAGGCCCCTGACGGAGGGTCATCTCCTCCAAGTGGTCATCCGCATGTGCTTCCTGTGCATGTTGGGCACACCGGAGAAATAGAACTGGGGCTAGAAGCTGGGGCCACCTGCTGGACAGTTTACGAACTAGCACCGGCTGGTCTGTCCGGCCGGCAGAACGAGATGATTAAACAGCTCCGCTTCTGCAGACCGCCTTCCATGCCGATTTGACTGAGAACATCTCCTTTGAAGACTATGAGCGTTAGTTTCAAGAGGTGGCGGCGCAAGTGTTTGTAACGGTTTCTGCCCGCGAGCACATGCATGGTGGAGGTGGACGGTGCCACTTTGGGTGTTTTGATACCCGTGAGGGCTGCTTTGGGGACCCTTGTGCGGCCTGTCTCATCACTACTAGCGATCATCCGACTCCAGACCCAAGCTCAAATCATGCAGGCGCAGAAGGCCGAGGTATAGAGTTTACTTGTTGCTAAGTGTGTATCAAAGGCCTCCCGGACAAAGGAACTCAAGAGCCACCCAAAGAGGCTTCTTTGTGGGCATGGCATGCATGTGCCAGTGTCCTTCTTGCAGGTTGGAGCCTTGCGGCGCAGAACTATCTGATCCTCGCTGTTTCGAGCAAAATTTGGCAAGCTTCAATCGCGACTAGCATTGTGGGGCTGCCACAAATTATTTGTCACAGACGAGGCGGCCATAAGAGCTGCACGTTGCCATTGCAGCATCTTGCGCAGGCACAGACGGTTAGAGTGATCAGAAGGTATCCCTAGTAGCTTCAATACTTTCCACTCCTCGCACTCTATGCCGCCAGCGGCATGTTTTCAGGAATGACATGCCTTCACATATGTCTGGAGAAAGCTTGGCTCGAGAAAACACACCTCGCTCTGTCCTGCGCCCAAGCACACATTGGGAACGTTTCGCACACTTATCATCGCCAGTCCTCAGCAAATCTTTTAACCAGCAGTAGTTTGTGGAGCGGCAACGTGCAGGGCGTGCAGCGGAGCTACAGCAAGTTGCAGCACAGGGTTTTCAAATCCGTGGATGAACAGCCATTTAATTCGGCTGCACGATCAGCGTTCAGCCCATGTTGGCATTAATAAAGACCAGCAGAAGACACGCCGCTGGTGTTCAACTGGCCATGGGGTCACTTCGGCCTTGGAATCTTTTCGGGAGAACGATGTACATAGCCTCAACTGAAGGCAGGGACCACGACCATGCAGCATGTTGGACTTGTTTTGCAGTTGTTGCGTGCCATGGCTTGTAGTTTCACTGCTGTGCTCTTCTTAACACTGCATGCTCACGCTGTCAAAAGTCTCATGTCCCTCCTTCAATCTCCTTCAATGGGCCCGGGCAAGTTGCAAAGAAGTTGCTGCTTTTGAGATTGGGAAAGAGGGGGCCGGGAACTCGATGCACAGGAAATCACAAAACGAAGCACAGGAATTCACATCCGTCAACGAAACGAAGCACGGATGCTGAATGATGTTGATCGAGTCCGCGGTGTCGCATTGTTAAAGCATCTGCTCTTCTTTCTGCACGGTTCGCCGCGTTTGCGCGTGATCTTGCGATGCGTCAGACACAAAGACACATAAGATGCATTGACACAACCTGTTGACTTGAGCTATGAGCACTAATACTTTATTCGTTCTGAGTCGTGCTGTGATCAGAGTGCTACTGGTGCCTCAGCTCCATGCTTCGTGGTTAGCATGTAGCCACATTTGAACTGCAGAGACGTGCCATGCACAGGTGGCGCGTTGAACAGCAACCTCGCCATTCAGTTGAGCCAAGCCAGGGCGAGACAGCAGGCCTGCAGCCTGCAGCATCCCGCATTTTGAGACTTGCAAAAATTTGCAATTTGAAAAACCCAGGGGTGCATCGTGGTGCACCCATGGACATGTTGAAAGCCTCCGGCTGTGTGGGTCAGAAATTTGTCAAAGTAGCAAGCTGTACTTGTGGGTCGCAGGGGCTGTTCCGTGGGTTTCCGTTTCTCTGGAAAGGCAATGGCTGGCTCTGTTTGGGGCTGTTCTGCCAATCTGGCGGTGGTCCAGGTTGTTCGTAGGTTGCACGGCATAAATAAAAGCCACCATGATGCCACCGCCCGCCAACATGCAAAACATAAATAAGCCAGCAGGAGCGAAACAAATGATGTGCCAATACATGGGAAAGCCACAATACCGTGTGTCCAGATGCAGACAGTTCACGGAATCCCTGAATAGTAGAAAATGATCTGTGAGCATGTGGGTCGGCAATGCGGGATGGTGGAAAATGCTTCAGCACCATGCTATGAGCCCAGTTCTGTGTGGTCATCTCCTGCCTGGCCTTAGGCCGGCACCGTTTTCCCTATATAGGACTGACAGACTACGATGGCAAATGACTTTGTCGTGTTTGCACTGACTTGAGTCATGCTTCAGTCGCATTTGTCAATACTGTTGCTTCTTTTCTGGGTGGGCAAACGAGTGGAGCTTTGCAACCAAGATGGACACCCGTTCTCACTCGAGGGCCCTGTAACTTTTGTGGGTTTAGGGCCACGCTCCTTTCTTTGATGTGCTTCCGCACGCTTCACAATTGCAGCAGAATCCTTCGCCATGTTACGATCCACTGAGCAGAAATGCAGACAAGATATTTTTTCGGACCCGAAGGCCCTCAGGCCACGATGCGTCTCGCTTCTCCATGTCTCTATGGCTTTCGAAGATCCTGCAAAGCTGCCGCTTGCCGGGCTTCGCAGCTCCACCCCAACCCCCGTCCGACAGGGGACAGGGGGAGCCAAGAGACGGCCTCCGGCATCGCAGTTGGAGGCAATGCAGCAAGACTTCCAGATGGCAGTGAGACTCAACCTCCTAAAGGATCTCAGGCGGATCAAGTATTAGCTTGACTGGCTGGTCGTTGCTGCGAAGCCTCACTTGGGCTTGGTCCAAAATCTCACTGTGGAATCTTGAGGAAGGGCGGTCCTAAAATGAGCGATGCGCATTCTAAACCGATGAGGGAAAGCGATGCGATCTTCATGTGGAATAGGTACTGCATGCTCGACTGGACTCCAGTTTACACACCAGCTGGACGGCTCCATCACTTTGAGCTTAGACACCAGCTGTGTGTAGTTTCCTACCATGTGGTTCTGTAACTTCGAGTTCAGATGCCTCCCGTAAATCTCAAGTGTGGAGATGTCAATCGTGTTCGTCATGTCGGCCATGGAATGCACACCTGGACCTAAGCGAGAACGTATTGTGTTGTGGGCAGAATCTTCCGAAAAGCGAGGTTGCAGTACCAAGTGGAGAGAAGGTGAGGGATCGAGCAAGCGCGTGGCCCGTCAACACTCCAAAGCCAGCGTCGACTAGCAGAAGAAAGAACAGTTTTTGCAGAAAGCAAATAAACATGCTTTTCGCAAAACACATACATACATCCTGTGGCATACAGAATGTGGTTTGAGAGGTCCTTGGCATGTTGCTGCAACCCAGAAAAGGCGCAAGAAGCCAGCCGCTTCAGCTCGCCGTTTCTCCGAAACTTCGCATATCTTCTTGGACCGCCGCAGTCCAAGCCACGACCAGAGTCAGCGTAGGAGTGGACGGGGAACATTGAGACACAGAGCGCTGATGAGCACGGAGGTTCTCCGCGGTGTGGACACTGCTTTGGGCGGCCAGGCCGCTTCACTTCCTGCTGTGCAGCGGCGTCACTTCGGCGGTATCTTTGTTTAGTCTTGTAATTTGCAACTCGCTGGACAGGTGGCGCTATCGCGATGCAGACCGGCTTCGAGATTTGGAGTTGAAGCCGGGAGGCCGCGACAAGTTGCTCTTGCTGTCGACATCTACGATTGCCTGCGAAAAACTGTGCAGGCGCAATACTGTTGGACCTTCTTGCATGGAGGGTCACCGCACACTTGGGTCCCTACCAGGCTTTCGTGTATGTGGGGCCTCCAATGCTGCTCAGGGCTTCTCGTGTCAGGTGCCGAACTTCGCCAAGGCCAAGATGCACGAAGAGCCGCTCAAGATGCTTCAGGAAATCGTAGTATCATTTCGATTCATTTCGTATCGGTTAGGTTTTTGTCATGCTGCCTTGATCGCTTTTTTCCGTTGCAGGACCCGGTCTTGCTGGACTACGAGCGAATGCGAGCTCTAAGCAGGTGTCATGCTGGAGCACGGGTCAGCTTCTGAATACTGATGCTTTGCGACAGGCTCGGGCAGCTGTCGCAGAGGACCGCTGTGGCAGCTGCCTTGCTGGCGAAAGCACCAAGCGCTGCAGTATGCTGCAGTACATGCCAGGCGTATGGCTGCGCTAAGCTTCTCGGCCCCGGGCACGGACCAAGGCCCGTGTGCCAATCAATGCCTTTGCTTAGCCTTGCACTCAGCTTGTGAAAGGTTCACCTTTGGTGGCGATAGAGCCACTTCTTTTCGACGCTTTCTACGAGGCTTCACTTCGTTTTTCTGGGCATGTCTGCACAGCTGGCTTTTTCTGAGGACCCCGCCAGTGTGACGAACACTCCGGGTACCAGCTCTGACACGCACAAAGCCGCAGCGGCCAAAATCATCCTGGATGTGGTTTCGGCATGTCCATCCCAGGAGTCCCAGTGCATCCTTGTTGTGCTCTGTCTGTGTGCACCTTTTGCTTCGAGCATCGAACCACCCGCCAGGACCGGTCAGTTCCGGACTGGGTGCTCAGTGGCCTGGTGAGGGCTCGGGGCATTCCATGGCAAGTTGGGCCGCAAGGACTGGCCTTTTTCCGCAAACCAAGTGGTGCAGCAATGTGCAGCATTACATCCTCCACAGTTGCAAAGGAGAGGAGCTGCGAGCCACGCTTCTCGTGCAACTGTCCGGCGCCAAACAGCCTCGCTTGTAGCGCAAGACCGCACCCGGTCCGTAGGGATCCGAAGTACAGTTCCACGCGAAGGCTACAAACCCCCCGCAATGCGGCAGCTGCCGGTTCCTTGATGGAGGTGCAAAGTTGAAGCATGTTTGCCAGACACATGCTGTAGTGTGTGGCTTTAACTTTGTATTTGTTTAATTCATTCAAGACAAGCCGTCGGAGAGTTTTGCACGGAGAGCATGTGAGAGGTACGGCAATACCTTGGCAGTTCAGGTGGCGATGCACTTGTACTGCATCTTACTGCATCATCGTCTTCGGCCACAACTTGTGCTGAAAGTCCTAGACGCTGGTGACGTCAGGCATCAGGCGGAAAGAAGACACAATTTGGCCATTGAAGGCCTGACTTCTTTTCTGCTTCAGGCTACAATAGTTTTTGTGAAGTTTCCTTCGGCAGATGTCCCTTCAGGCCTACCTGCTAAGCGGTGAGACCCATGATCTGCTTCGAAAGGGAGCCAGGCTTGTGACGAAACACTGCCGCTTAGCAGCAAGTTGTCGCTTGGAAGCTTACCGGCACCTCCCTGGCACCGAAACAGGTCCGGGTGCTGTTGAACCCCAAAACAAGAGGCACAGTTGCGCAGCGGTGCGACTCTACGAGTTGACATGACGCGTCAGTTGCAGGGAGAGAGACACTCCAAGCCTTCAAATGAAGCGCGACCTTCGCAACTTCTGGACTTCGATCTTACTTACAGCAGGCACGTCAGTCGAGTTTCAGGTTTTTTCACAAGTCATCTTTGCGTGAGTCTTGCGTGGCTAGGATGGGCATCTTTCCAGCATTGGACAGCAGTCTTCACGGCTCAGGTGCGAAGTTATCGAGCGTATTTCTGGGTTTGTCTTGCGGAAGCTACCTTGTGGGATCTTGTGGGTTTGTCTAGAGTTAAAAGAGGGGGTCTTACTTTTGGACCTAAAGAAGGTGCCAAGACCGGGGTTTCGGGTCCGATCGGTCCTAGGGGGATTCTTGGGACTCTAGTTTGGGGCTTTCTGAGGAGGCCTGGAGAGAACCTTGCTCATCAAAGTACATCAGCCTGGGCTGCTCTTGCCGTGTCTTGATTAAAGGCTCTCCTGCAACTTGCAGCGGGTGTTGCCAGTGCTAGTGCAGGCGCAAAGCTGACATGCTGGAAAGCGTGCTGAGACTGAACAGTGCTGAGACAAACTGAGCGTGTGCAGAGGTGCAGCAGTTCTGGAGATTCTCTGGAGTGCCCAGGAGCAGGTCATCCAAACAGAGTGGTACTGGGAGGTGCAGTCACAGACAGCTTGCACAGCTCTGAACACGCTCTATTGTAATGGGATGTAATGGGCGCGAGTTGAAGATTCATGATCTCCGTTGCAGAACGCCTACAGCACGCCGGCTTCTGCAGCCATGGCCTTCACAAACTGCGTGGCTTTGGCGTGGGAACGCGGCTCAGAGAAGTGGTTTTTTCAATCTAAAGCACACGTCGTAGCACCGTGCTGTTGACGAAGCGCGAGTTCTGCATCGAGGCCTCGCGCTTCTCCTGTATTCTGCCCTTCGTGGTCTCGAGATTGTTTAAGGATGATTACTTGGATGCGTACAGGACTTTTGCCTGACAGCCAAAATGCTCAGCCCCTGCGCTTATGAGGGTGCGAGAAGCTTCCAGAGTCAAGCAACGCATGTCGCGTGTGGAGAGCTGAAGGTTGGAGGCTGTCATGCTAGATTTGGCTTGCAGCGCGCGAGGTAGTGGTAGTGTCTTTGTTGCCTTGCTGAGTGCCGAGAACAACATGACGGCAAACGGGGACTACCAGAAAATGGACGATGCGCCCGTAGGGCCACTCCCACCACCATTTGCGCTGTCGAAGCTGAATGACGACAAAGAAGGACTGTTGAAGGGTCTGACGGATTCCGAAGTGGCAGAGCTTGTCAAGAAGTACGGCTTAAACGAGGTGCCCGAGCATAAGGAGCCTCTGTGGAAGATGTTTTTGAAGCAGTTCACGGGACCCATGCAAATCATGATTGAGTGTGCCGCCTTGCTGTGCTTCTTGATTCACAACTGGCCGGACTTTACCATCATCATGATTCTGTTGTTGACCAACGGAACACTCGGCTTCTTTGAAGAGATGAACGCTCAAGCGTCGGTCGATGCATTGAAGGCTGGTCTGGAGAAAAAGATGCCGGTGAAGCGAAACGGCAAATTCGACAGTATCCCGGTTCTTCAAGTAGTTCCCGGGGATGTTCTCTTCATGCGTGGTGGCGACATTGTGCCAGCTGACTGCTACTGGATGGAAGGTGACCCCTGCCAAGTTGACGAAGCAGCTTTGACCGGGGAGTCGCTGCCGGTGAAGGTCCCTCGCAAGGATGATGATGGAAAGCCTTTCTCTGGTCGACAGATGTGGTCCGGATCCATCTTGAAAGTCGGCGAATGCCAGGCAGTGGTGAGTCATACTGGTGTCAACACGATGATTGGTGAAGCCGCAAAAGCCATTCAGGAAGCCGGTGGAAAAGACATTGGCGTGTTCGAAGGGAAGATCATTGAAGCAGCTCAGGTGCTCATTCTCATCACCGTGCTTGTTGTGACGTTTCTCTTCAACTTCATGTTCTTCATACAATCCGTTCCCATCACGGAGGTGCTTGAAATGTCACTTTCCTTGGTGATTGCATCGGTGCCGGTTGCCCTGCCCATGGTCATGAAGGTCACTTTGTCCATCGGCGCAAAGGAGCTTGCAGATGAGGGTGGGATCGTGACACACCTCACTGCACTTGAGGAGATTGCATCAATGAAGGTCCTTTGCTCGGACAAGACTGGAACGCTCACTACTGCTCAGATGACTGTGTACTATGACGACACGGCCAAGCCATACAGCGGGTACACACGCGAGCAGGTGTTGGAGTTTGCGTCCCTAGCTTCGAACGATGCCAACAAAGATGATCCCATCGATTCAGCCGTGCTCCGTGCCTACGCGAAGATGAAAGGTGCCTCAAGCGTGGATGCAGCAGTCGAGAAGCGCCAGAAGGACTTCACCCTGGACAAGGATGGTTTCATGGGCTTCAATCCTATCGTGAAGCGAACGTGTGCTGCTGTCACCGCCTCGGATGGCACAAAGTGGTTTTGCGCCAAGGGCATGGTCGATGTCATCCTGAAGACGAATGCAGACGACGAGGGAAAGCAGTGGACTGTTGAGAACTACGACGCCATGTCCAAGGAGGCTCACAAGGCGGACGCTGACCTTGGTATTTCCGGGTTCAAAACCTTGGGTGTGGCAGTGTCCAAGAACGGTGGCCCAATGCAGTTTGCTGGCATCTTGCCCATCATGGATCCTCCCAGGCATGATACGAAAGAGACAATCCGCAAGATCAAGGAGTCTCAAGTTGCCGTGAAAATGATCACGGGAGACCATCACAACATCGGCAAGGAGCTTGCCAGGCAGATTGACCTCGGAACTGACATCAGAACCCCAGACTGCCTGCAGCCGCCGGGCGATGCCCGTGATTTGATTGTTCTCCAGGCGGATGGTTTTGCCAAGGTCAAGCCTCTGGATAAGCACGAGGTTGTGTCAGTGCTCCAGGACAAGGGCCTGGTGGTTGGTATGACTGGGGATGGTGTCAATGATGCTCCGGCATTGGCCAAGGCGCAGATTGGTATTGCAGTGCATGGAGCCACCGATGCTGCGAAATCTGCCGGCGATATCGTGCTGACACGAGATGGCCTTTCACCCATCTACACAGCCATCCAGATCTCGCGGCGCATCTTCAAGAGGTGGAGGTCTCTTGAAACTTCGGCACGGTAACCTAGAGGCACGTTAGGCAGGGTGGTGAGGCTTAAGCGAGAACCGTGCATCTCCCACTCCCTGGCCATCCCTGTCCCCTTGTCGCACTCTCCTGGTGCAGGTTGAAGTCTTACGTGATCTACCGCATCTGCATCACCGTGCAGGTCGTGTTCTTCCTGGCCGCCCTTGCCATCTTCTACAACCTCCGCTTCAAGGCTCTCTACATCATCCTCCTGGCGCTGTTCCACGATTTGCAGATTGTCACCATTGCGTATGACCACCAGATCGCAGGCTTGAAGCCCGAGACTCCCACTGTGTTGGGTTTGCTTCTGCAGAGCTATTCCATGGGCATGCTGATGTTTGCTCAAACAATGCTACTCGTCTCCTGTGGCCATTACTTCCTCTCGGACAAGTATGCCGATGGCTACTTCGCAAGTGTCGGTGCTACTTCGGCGGGTACAGAAATGGACAAGTACATGGAGACGACCATCTTCCTTCAGATCTCCAACTCATCAGCCATTCTCATCTTCTCGGCACGCACAGTCAGCTTCTTCTTCACAAGTATGCCGGCGTGGCAGTTGACCTTTTCGACAGCACTGGGGCAGATTCTGATCAACATCTGGTGCCTGTGGGCACCCTCTGGTCTGGTTGACAAGCTTGAGCCCATGGATGTGGCACTCGTGTGGCTCTATGACATCGCTTGGCTTCTTTTCCTGGATGTGGTGAAGATGTTCGCTGGCCGGATCTGGGACAAGTACAAGCCCGCGTCCATCGATCGGAACCCTGCCTTGGCGGCCCGTGACCGTAACAGTCGCCGCTTGTCAAACAACCTGCGGCCCTCATACATGCTGGCACAGGTGGGAGGTCAGGAGGTCGACAACAAGCTGAGTCAGCTCCCACCAGGACAGAGGAACTCTGTTCGCTTGTCAAGGAACTCAAGGCAATTCAAGAAATGAGTTGGAAAGCATGGCTAAGCATGGCTAAGCAACGCAAAGCCAAAGACACGGCGAGGGCTGCCGAATATCCATTTTTGTGGCTCCCGTGGAACCCGACGATCGGGAAATTGCATTTCTGTACATAACAGACATCCCATCGTCAGGTTCATTTGATTCATCTTGATTCATGCATCGTTTCTTGTCACTAGCATTGTTTAGACGTCGCCGACGTCTACACCGTTTGAAGTTCCTGCAAGAAAACCCACCATAGTTGCACGAATTTCGCAGCGGCACGATTGCCGCGCGTCGGCTGAGCAGTGGAACCATGTGAACCAGCTCTCGTTGAAGTCTAATCAGGCGCTGCCAGCTTGGCTCTCAGATCTTTTGCCCGGCGGTGCGATGGCGGACTTCAAGCCGTTCACGGCTTACATTGTGGATGCCTGCAGGTGCAATGCTGTCCCTTCTTGTCACATCGGTTGAACATGATCGGTAACTGTTCTGTTGCGCAAGCAATGCTATCACGATGTCTGAAATTCTGACAGGACGGCAGGAGGCAAGAGAAATGGACGGCTGTCAGGTGCCTTTTCGTGCGTTTTGCATAGTTCGAAAGGCGCTAAGGCTTTGAAAAATGTGGAGATTCGTCGAGGCTCGGAACAGCCTGAGACGTCGCACCAGGCTATCATCCTGCGGAGCTTGGCGCAGCCGTGTGCGATGCGCTCATCGAGCGTACCAAGGTCAACGCGGCAGAGGTGCTTTGACCGCCGTTGCACCGCCGCTACATCTCATTGCACTGCACTTATGGCGAGGTGGAAGACGTTATCTTCGGTTGCGTCAGCCAGGTAGGTGCCCAGGCTGGATCACTACAATCTGAGACAACATCTGTGACATCAAATTTCTTGTGCCAGTCCGGAAATATTGGGCGCGGTGTCGTGCTTTCCTCACGAAATTTACCGGAGAGTGTCGCGGCCTCGCCAGCAGAACTGTTGCAAAAGGTGGTCAAGGTGTCAAAGCCGGCAGCCACACGATAGCTCACTCGATGCTTGAAAAGGGTTCTTGTGCCAAGAGCAGTGGCGATCGGTACTATGCAGAGGCTTGTTGGCTTGGGTTTTTGTTGATGATGGCTGCAGGTGCCTGGTACGTCCGTCGACAGACAGTGTGGCTCATCGCAGCAGGCCGCAAACTGCATATCGACAGATCAGATTTGTTGTAAATGGAGCAGCTTACACTCAGTAGTAGAAGCAGTCATAGGAGTAGTAGTAGGAGTACTAGTGGTAGTGGTAGTGGTAGTACTAGTGGTAGTGGTAGTGGTAGTGGTAGTGGTAGTAGTAGTAGTAGCAGCAGTAGTAGCAGTAGCAGCAGTAGCAGCAGTAGCAGCAGTAGCAGCAGGAGTAGTAGGAGTAGTAGTAGTAGTAGTAGTAGTAGTAGTAGTAGTAGTAGTAGTAGTAGTAGTAGTAGCAGTAGTAGTAGTAGTAGTAGAGTAGTAGTAGTAGTAGTAGTAGTAGTAGTAGTAGTAGTAGTTAGTAGTGGTAGTAGAGTGGTAGGTAGTGGTAGTGGTAGTGGTAGTAGTAGTAGTAGTAGTAGTAGTAGTAGTAGTAGTAGTAGTAGTAGTAGTAGTAGTAGTAGTAGTAGTAGTAGTAGTAGTAGGAGTAGTAGTAGTAGTAGTAGTAGTAGTAGTAGTAGTAGTAGTAGTAGTAGTAGTAGTAGTAGTAGTAGTAGTAGTAGTAGTAGTAGTAGTAGTAGTAGTAGTAGTAGTAGTAGTAGTAGTAGTAGTAGTAGTAGTAGTAGTAGTAGGTAGTGGTAGTGGTAGTGGTAGTGGTAGTGGTAGTGGTAGTGGTAGTGGTAGTGGTAGTGGTAGTGGTAGGAGTAGGAGTAGGAGTAGGAGTGATAGGAGTAGGAGTGATAGGAGTAGGAGTAGGAGTGATAGGAGTAGGAGTGATTGGAGTAGGAGTGATCGGACTAGTAGGAGTCGGAGTCGGAGTTCGGAGCACTAGGTATAGCAGCAGTATTAACAACTGGAGTCGCGCTGGTGATTGCAACAACAGCCGTAAGGGTACTCGTTGTATGGGAAAGCAACCACCCACACCTTCTCGATCGATTTGATAGACACCCAATCATGGCCGCCCGACCCCCGCTTCCTGTCACTCAGCACTGTTGGCGAACAGTGGGCATGTGTGGGTGTGAACTAGACACGAACTCACCTGTATGGTGCTCGTGCTCACCGGGCCGGTCTGATGCGGTGAGGAAAAAGGATGAGGGTAATTCACGCCCCAAACAGCATGGCTGAGGGTGGAAAACACACCTTGGCAAATGGTATCTGCTCACCTTAACACTCTCCCTGCCTCTGGGCACGGGTGTCCCGGCTTTTATGCCCAGGGTACCGCCAGTCCCTGCCTCTGGGCTGGGGGGTCCCGGCTTCTAAGCCCAGGGAGCTGCCAGTAGTGACTTGGGTAGGGCACAGAAGACCTGTGCTAGTAGCTCCCTAGCCAGCCCCTGCCTTATGGTAGGGAGTAGCAGCTAAGAGGAGTCGCCGTAGGTAGAGTGTCCGCCTAAGGGCAGGACTTGGGACCGATACCGGTAGTGTCCGTCTCACCTTCGGCTTGCATGCAATTAGATTGGAGTTTGCTACCCCGAGCTCTGCTCACGCCTTGTGCGCCTGGTGAGAACTAGACACAAAGAGAGCAAGATCGCAAACCATGTCTGCAAGCATGCCTCTTGAACAGAGGCCATCCACGCCGCTGCGCAAGCGGTGATGAGTGGCGTCCACGACTGCTGCAGCCTGCCTCAGTGCTGCTAGGCCTTTCCACAAGTTTTCAAGAAGGCTCTGCTGATGGTAACTTTTCAACTGAGGCATCGCTGGTGGTGTAGAGGTCATGCGCAAGTCTGAGCATGTCTGCAAGATTGGCAGTGCAAGCATGGCTGCAGACAACACTCATTGCAACTTTCTGAGGTCTCTGGTTCCCATCGGCGCTTCCATCATTGATGGGCTCAAGGTCATCGCTGCGAGTTGAGGCAGCAACACCTTCACGCAGCATGACGAGAGGCTGGACATGGGAACCCCATGGACGATGCCACCATGCAGAAGTATGCGGAAAAGATGAAGGACAGAAGCACCAAGCAATTGTAGTAGTTTGCCCCCCTCGACCTTTGTCGTTGTTTTGGGCTTTGCTAGCCACATCTAGCCACTCCAGTTGAGGATGTGTTCGGTTGCTGCGTTCCTGACAGCTCTTGTTCACACAACTTCGTTATTCGGAGCATCTCAACTCATCTGTGGAGCAAATCAGCTTCAGACCAACGGTTCACGACATTGGGAGGCGTTTGAACAGTTCAACATGTCCTCGCAGGCGCGGACACTTGTGTTAGTCTGTGTCTGCACGGCCGGGATTGAATGCCAAGACCAGTATCCGTTCTCCCAAGTATCTGAATGCGTACCCAGACCTTCTCCCAATTCGGTGGTGCGGAGCTGCTTGCCAAAAAGTATGGTCTGAGCCGTGAGGCCAGCGCATGGAGATCCAAGTTTGTGGCAAGTTTGACATGCTCTGCTCTCTGCTCTGAGTTTTGATCTCTGCATTCTTGCAGAGCCCCCAGGATGTGGACAAGTTCGCCGCCGTCTCACAGCAAAGAGCCGTGGCATCTACGAAGGCTGCGAGATTGCATTGCTGGATCCAGTCTATCTTGTCCCTGACGTAGGGAATCGTAGTGGCCTTTGGGCACCTGGAATTTGCATCAATGTAGTTATTTCTGGCTGTTTCTTGCAACCACAAGGCAGGCAAGTTTGCCGATGAGATCGTTCCACTGCCCGTCAAGCGCAACTTGGCGATGTGCTGCGATGAGCCGAAGTTGCCCCCGAGATAAGCTAACGATATGGGAAGGCTGAAATGAGGCTGAGGACAGTGCATGGAGTCACCAGCCCCCGTGTGCCATGGCCGCTCCAGCTGAACAAGACCCACATGAGGGCCCAATGGCAAGAAACGATACTTTCTCACAAGACACAACAGTCCCACGCTTGAGCACATTTCTGCACTGTACTCCAGGATACTCCAGGCTTGGTCTGCTCGACTGTATTCGAAAATTGGAATCCTGAGGTAAGCTGGGAGCTAGCAGCTAGACTCTAGACTGCAACCTCGTCAAAAGTCTGCTCCGCTCCACAAGCTTTGGCAAGCGCAGTATAGGTGTTTGGCCATGTCTTAATCGGGCTTTTCCTCAACGTCGTTGCGTGCTTTCATGACCGAGGCAAGGAAGGCCAATCAGAAGGCATGCACACTCAGGCACTTGAGCAGAGTGTGTGCGGTTAGCAGAGATCTCTCTGATTCTTTATCTCAGCCTGAGACAGCAGGATGAGGGCATCAGGGAAGGTGTGACGGTGGAGAGTGTGGGGAAGCTGAAGGCGCGGGGGAAGACAGAAAAGCAAAAACGAACGTAAGAAACATTAAGAAACGTAAGAAGAGTGTGACAACAGGTGACAGCTTTCTTAATACTCTCGACCCTGCGATGTTGCTCGTTGCAAGAAGGCGATGTTTCCGAATGGTGTGTTGACCCCGGCTTCCTCGTCACAGATCTGTCATCCGCTCAGAAGACATCGTTTCAAAATCTGATCACGCTTCCTGAACAAAAGCAGAGCGCAAGGTGATGGTGCCGCGGCTGTGCTGATTTGCAACGAGCCTGCTGCTAAGTGCCTCATAAGTCTTGCAGTGGCGTTGTCGGTGCCACGGGACCGAATTCAGCTATGGGCGAACGAGTCATAACTCAAGGCGCAGGCGCGTTGAAGTCTCCCCCGGAATTCCTCACTCACGCAAGTCCGCACGCTCTCTACGAGCGATCGCGAAAGCATCGCCAAAGAATGGGGTACTTTCGCCATAGCGCAAGAAGTAGCCGCCTGCGCAACGGCAGTGTGGAGTCTGCACCTTTCATGCCATTTCATGCCCTGGCTGCATAAGGAGGGTCCGACATGGCCATTCCACCAACCGTTGCCACGTGAGCCGTTCCTGTTGGACCTTGGCTTTTAAAGATATTCAATCTCTCAGTGGGACAACATGAGCAGGTTCGATGACCCTTGGCAGATCATGCCACTACTTAGCAGCCAAAAGCCGCAAGCTGCTGGTCCACATGGGTCCAAAACGAGACGCTAGTCATGGTCGCTTGGCGGGGGAGACACCACTCTGTCTGCTGCACGCCTATCTGCATTTCAGCACCAGTTCTCTCGTCCTCGCGGCGCACTCGAAAACACGTGAACACACGCGGGCGTTTGTAAACACTTGCGGATGGCTGTGGACGATTGCGAATGCAGGGCCACGCAAGTCCCCAACCCAAATCCCCAACACTCCAAATGAGAGCGTTTTGTCTTCCGCTATGCAGTCGACAAATTCAACGGCAGACCGGTTCTAGCTGTTACTCTGCTGTGGGAAGAAGCATCAGTTGTCATGTGCATCCACTCGGTGCGAGGCGTGGTTTAGCGAAGCTTGGGGTCCAGCCCCTCGCAAGGAGCACCTGCTAAATATGCCACAGAATGACACAAGTCACACATGTCACGCGGCAAATCAGATCTCTTCAAACCTGCGCAGGATACATTCGCTGGCCTTAGTTGGGGGCCATGTTGCCTTTGTTTGTGCGTGAAACCTTTGAACATGCGGCAGCCGGCTGAGCTGTTAGATGCTGTTAGCACTAGACGCGCCGAGAGCACAACGCGAGGCGGCAGCTGATCCTGTGATCATGCTGGAAGCGTGCGGGTCTCATGAAGAGTGGAAGAGAGGAGCGCTGCCTCGAATGCTTCGTGTACTGAGTAGTGTATATACCTTGAGGTATCTTATGGCAAGGTGAATCTTATTCCTTGCACTGAGCTGTTCAAACTGGCTCTGGTTTGGTAGTACTGTGCTGTAGCATTATATCGTAGCGTTGTCTTAAAATGTTGAAGCTCGTGAGGCCAATTCCAGCTTCACAGAAGGCCCTGCAGAAGGCACGCAGGACACGCAAGCAGTGCATGAAGAGCTCCCTGAGAACATGAGGTGAGCGCGCACGGACTCCCAACACACACACACAAACACACACCCAAAGCTTGTATTTACTGTTTTGCAGGGTACAAACTTCACTGAGCAAGCCACGCGATGCTGTGTTTCTGGATTGGCAACACCTTGGAAGGCCAACATGAAAATCCAGGACGTTGACATTTATGAGGCCAGGGAATGCAGTTGCACACAGCAGGCCATTTCTCGTCTGGGCGCTGGGCGTGCTAAATGCATAGCGGGTTCTCTAGAGAAAGTGCCGTTGGCTGTTGAGGTTGATGTTCGCAGATATAGTATTTGGAGTTGCATCGTTTGAATATATATATATATATATATATCCTGCTGCTTGCACGACCACTTTGCCGTATTGTCCGTCAAGGTCAACGAAGCCTTTGCGTCGGTACCCTTGGCATGGTGCAAGGCACCGGTCGTCTTTGCTCGTTGCCAGCTATGAATCGATAGACACTCGGCACCCAGGGAAAACTGCATACGGTCCCTATATAGGCGGTTGGTTGAGGGCACGGAGCAGCTGCAATGGCAGGCCTTGAATGCTGACTTTCAGAAGCTGAACGCCTGGGCCTTGTTACCGAGCCACACTTGGCTTTGCCATTTCTTTCCAATGTATGCGGATTCACAAACCCTGGCCTGCCAGAGGTGAACGGGGGTGCTATGGCGCTGGGCCATCCGCTTGGAGGCAAGGACGTTCGGTGACTGTTCGGTACAATAACGCTGTCTGCGCCGCACGCTGTCGGCCTGGTTCACAGGCAAAGCAGCAGCCTCAGGCCCCAAACGGAACAGAACAGAACCAAAGGACAACTAAGTCGAAGATGTTAGATGCAGGGCTTGGACGTAGTGCCGTTTGCGCAGGGCGTGGCTGGGCAAAACACTTCGACGGACTCCAGGATGCTAACCTGCTCTAACTCAGTGCCGAAGAATACATACCCTAACTACCAAACCGAAGGCCTACAGCCTTGAACAACACAAAGCCCACGGATGCTTTCTGCCACCCATTGCCGAAGCTCCGGCGCCTTCATGAAGCGGTAGTCCGGGGGCCGATCTGACTTTCCATTTAAAGCGTGCCTTAGGCATGAACTTTGAAAGCACAGACAACTGGGCATTCGCTTTGCCGCTTCACTGGTGTCGCAAGTATGGAAGTCAAAGCTGGATCTGCCAGTGACGCACGCTGACGCCATGTGCCGCCCTGCAGGTACCGGGGCTAAGTTGATGACCACCCTCGTGCATGAACTACGACGCCGCCAGGCAGGTTTCTTGAATGTTGGACCGGATGATAGCAGCGTGAGGCAGCAGAAGCACGACACCTGAGTCACTGAGTCACTGAGCTTGCAGGGTCGATTTGGTCTGCTGGCCATCTGCGAGGGCGGTGGAACAGCCAATGCGACCATTGCACGGGCCTCCGGAAGTTCGGAAGTGTGGAAGTGGAAGTGTGGAAGTGGAAGAGTGGAAGTGTGGAAGTGAAGTGCGGAAGTGGAAGTGTGGAAGTGGAAGCGTTGTAGAGATGTTTCTGCTGACGCTGAAGTTTGTGTGCTGAGATCGAGCTGATGCCAACTTCTAAGCTGTAGGCCGCAGGCTCGCTGTGAATGGGATGGCGGGATGTTTGTTTGGGCAAGTTTTGTGGAATGCTCTGTGAACTGCAGACATGAGACACATCATGTGTGCTTGGCATTTTGCAGGTTCGCGGTCGGCTTCTGAGTCCAAGGAACCCAAGGCTTCGATTGAGACGAGATGAGCTGACATGCAGAGTGCTCTGAAAGACGTTTGAGATTTCTGGATTTGCACTCCTTTGAACACACTTGCCAGTCTTTTGCCTCTTGTGACCCACGGTTTTCCGCTCTGTTTGGGAGTTCGGAGTTCGGCCCAAGGGTCTGCAAGCAGCATCAGCTCTGTTTATAGTATTGTGTGGCAGTCTTCATGCGGCATATGCAGCACAGCGTGTGCGCAGACTCCAGTGACAGACATGCTGTCTACCAGCAGGAAGTTGCTAGAGGCGATTGGCCCGATTGCAACTTTCTGACACATGTGAAGCTGAATTGCGTGGCATCAAATGACGACTTGCAGAACAAGCTGCCACAGTTTATGCTGCGGTCGATGTCAGGAACTGTCAGGGTTCTTCTGTGCAAGGCACCAGCTTGAGGAATGGTTCAGACCGGTTCCGCCAGGTTGTGGGTCAAGCTGAGAGGCTAGCAAAGTGTAATTGATTGCTTGCCAGCATGATCTTGGCACCTTTTCTGTCGAGGTTGGAGATGCAGTGCGGTCAAGTGTTTCTCTGCTTTTGGAAGCCCTGGATAGCCTTGGCCCTGGCAGGTTCATGTGTATGTGTGCTGGCTATGGAGCTCCAGCGGAAACACCAGTGGACAAGCAAGTTCCATCTGCAAAAGCAAAGACAGGCTGAGTCACCTTCTTGTCGGAAAAGCTGTGGGTGCCCTCCGATGTCTTGGCGCGTAAAATCTAGAGCTGATGAGAGGATGTGCTGAATGCCCTGAGGCCTCACAGACCCAAAGGCACCGACGCTGCTTCAAAAGCAAAGCCGTCGAGAGGCTTGCACAATTCCAGCAAAAAAGCCCTGGCAGAGTCCTGGCAGTCGGTCTTGGCTCGTTGCGACATGTGATAGGTCCATATTGACAAGACGACGACCATTCCCCTGGAATTGTACTGGGAACTAATCCGAGCCGGCGAGCGCGCCAAAGAGAGGGGCCAGCACCAGCTGACCAAGGCACACAGTGACCCGCGTTGCTTTTGCGCTCTTCTCACAGCACTTCACAGAGCAACTCCATGATAAAGAGCTTGTTGCAGTGTTCCTGCCAGGGCAGCAGGCATGTCGGCATGCACCTCATCATGAGCACTTGAATCGCAGCTTCCCTTCGTGCGAACTCAATGCCTCGTACATTTTGCAGTGTTTGCAGCAAGTTGTTTTGCTTGCACAACCTGGGTCTTGAGTTTTCGCGGTCTCACCTTAGCTCGCCATTGCGTTCTGTCAAGAGAGAATGAGTTTTCCGGAGCCCAGGAGCGCTCTTTCACTCCAAAATCAGCGAGTTGCACCGGTTCGAGGGGAACCTCAGAACCTCTCAGCCGAGATGGCGTTTATGTGCTTTTATGTGCGATTGTGAGGTCATGATTCCTAGAATGGTGCTGCAGTTGCTTCGGTGCCAGTGGGAGAAACAGTTCACGCTTTGGCAGTGATCATCGTGATATACTCTGTCCTCTTTTGGTTTCATGTTACGACTGGTGTCAAACTTGGTTCAACCGGCTCAGAACATGATAGCTGGGCCGGCACAGCTTGCGCTGCTTTAATTCGTCAGCGTACCCGACGCAAGCAAGCCGTCGCGCACAACTGCGCTTGCTGTTTGAGGGTCCATGCCGCAAGCAAAACCACTTAAGAAGTGTGTCAAGTTCCGGCATTGTGGTGTGATCCTTGCACAGTTGCGTGTCTCACCAATTCAAGCAGTGCCGAGTTGCCGAACCTTTCTGGACGTTACTCAGTTGTTAACTCCTTTTTGAGGTTTGATCTCAGCTTGCCAAAAGATGTAACTGAGTATCAGATTCAGGAAGCAGCGGCTTCAATGCAGAACTGCGCAATCGGGTTCGTGTGGTAAACAATCACCGCCTTGCTTCAAACGGTTGACCTCGAGCTGACCAGCAACGCACGGCCATTGATTGCACATAGATAGCCCGGTGAGCTTGTGAATGTTGCAAGGCCCTCGGCATGTGCAGCTCAAACACAAGAAGGGGCGTGGCGTCCGCCCCGTTCTGAGCTTGTAAGCTCAAATGCCGTCCTCTGATCGTGACGATGATGAGCTATCGGACTCTGCCCGCGCCGTTCTCCGAATTCAGCAAGAAATCGACGGGGGTGTCTCCGATGAAGCTCCAAAGAAGTCTTCGTCTCGTGCCGGGAATGGGCGAACCCATGGAGCTGTCACTGGCATTGCCCTGGGCGAGTATGCAGACTCGCCCAAAGCCTCCAAAGCCTCCAAAGCCTCCAATTCTGGAACAGTGCAGATCAAAGCAAAGGGCAGCAAGGCACTTGTCCAGACGAGCTACCTTCAGCGCCGGTAGAGGGGTCACAAGTAGTTTCTCGGGGGGGATGGGTCACTTTGACATCTCAGTCCGGGTCGCTTGTGGCAAGTGACGTTCTGCACCTCAAAGCAGCTCACAGAGGGGTTCAGCTGAACCCTAAACCTCAAAACCCTAGACCGTTGCTCTAAGTCTCAAGAGCCCGAAAGCCAAAAGAGGCACCGGGGTTGGAACCCCCAAGCCCTGAAAGGGAGATGAAACCAAAAGGGGCACTGGGACTTCGAAGCCATGAAAGCATGGAAGTGGAAGAAACCCTCAAAGGGTGGCCGGGAGTTGGAAGCCCTGAGCCACAAAAGGGGACAGCAGAAGTTGTACGATCCCCGGAGGTCACCTGTGAAATCTGGTTTTCTGAACTTGCTACACCTCTCAACAAACATGCCTGGAATCACTTGTGAAAGGGTCACTTGTGAAATTTCCCTCCCGGGAGGGCTTCCTCGGTGCAAGGGAAATTTCAGGAATTGCAACTCCCCACAAGCAGAAGCCAATGACATCTGGGTGCTCCGGAAAAAATGGCCACTGTGAAGGTGAACCTGCAAAACCGGTGTGCATGTTTTACAAAATGTCACAAGCGACCCTCCTCTTGGGATGTCGCCAGTGCCAGTGAGACAGAGCCCTGAGATGTCAGAAGTGGTCCTGCTAAAATGACCTTTGCAGGCTGGACTTTTCAAGGAGAGCTTGGAGTCACTAGCATATCGCGAAGATTCTGATCACGAGGACCGGACACTTGCAACACGCACACGCAATTTGTGATTTCAGTGGGGTGGGCCTTGATGTGCAGGTGAACCCAGAAGCTCCAGCTGGAAGTTTCCGGAAAAGGGATTTGCAACAGGAGGAGCGTGACCGAGCAAGCAACAAAGCCCGGGTGGGCTTGGATGGAAAGGTCTATCAGTTTATCGACGCGCCAAGTGATGACGAGAATCACGAAGCTGAAGCTGTCAATGAAGGTGCTTCCGCCTTGGCATTCACCAGTGCAGCGCAGAGATTCGGCTGCTGGGGTTCGTTCAGAGGCAATCAAAAAGCAAAGAAGAAAGACTCGAAGAAGGCCAAGAAGGCACCCATAACAGCTGTCAGTGTATGCTTAGGGAAGCTTTTGGCAGGCTTGTTCGGCCCAGGATGCAAAAAAGGATAAGAAAAAGAAGAAGAAAAGCAAGAAGAAAGTACACGGCTTGGCTTTCATTCGGGCTGATGTCTTTGAGCTTAGCCATTGAGCCCACTGCTAAGACCAAAAAGCACAAGGGCTGGAGCCTCGGAGCCTGGTAATGCAGCAGATGCAGTTTCAGAGATGAGCCTGACTTGATTCGCACTGCTTCCGGATGCGAAGATTCGTCGAGCTCCTCTTCAAGCTCATAGCTTGCACGATGCGGCGTGACCGTGAACCCTACGACTGAACATGGGGGATTGCCAGGACAGAAGCCACCCTAGCAAGTTACCAATGAAGTAGAAGTCTTGCATCTGTCAGGGGTTGGTGTGAAAGAACGCAAAGTGTGGCAAAAAACTGCTTGTCGAAGCAGGCAGGAAGACATGCTCTCATTCCCTGCGGCACAAGCAGAACGAGGAGGCGTGTGACATGAAGACAAGTCTGCATTCTGCAAGCAGCTAGCATACCTGAGAGGAAGTTGGTCTGCTCCGTGGTATGGACTCGTGGGAAATGCGGCTTGCAAGTGGAACGCTGCTGAGAAGTTGGGGCCCTGTGGAATCCTGCGCAATCCTGCAGCACAAGATTCCTCGGAACTTACCCTTTCTGAGACAAGCTTGGTGAGAGGCGACGCGTTGACAGCCTGCTTTCATGTAGGATGCCAGAGGATGACCACGGAGACAAAACGCATTTTGTGTTCGAAGTTTGGTGCTGTCATTCGTGCAATGCACTTCAACTGAGATCAATCGAGAGAGCTTGCATCAGCTGGCTCAACAGCAGCTCTGTAGAACACTAACAGTTCCGTATTAGCCGAAAGCATGCTGCATTGGTCAGGGCGACTTCGCGACGAAAGTGTACCTGACAGCACACACGCAATGCTTACAACAAACAACCAGGAACACTCTACAAGCAGGGTAAGTAGGGCCTCTAGAGCCCCCGCAGGCCTGGGCATCCCTGAGGGGACCATAATTTTATCCATGCAGGTCTGCAACCCAGCCAGGTCCAGTCGTGAAGTGCTGCTCGGTTTCTCGTGTGAGGCACGCCGTCACACAACTTTTCACTGCAGGTTCAAAGTCAACATGTGCGGGTGGGCATGTCTCCAGCTAAGCTGCAACTGTCGAGCGATAGGTCTGATGGGTCTTTTTTTTCCGTCTTCATTTTGAAAGAAGTTGAATTGTGTTGATTTTTTGTTGAACCCTTGAGAAGTGATTGCGCCTCCTCCAGCCCAAGGCCTGGGATGTCACCCACTCGTACTCGCACACCGCAAGTGCGATCAGTGCTGGGCCCTCTGGTCTTCGCCATGCGCCTCCGTTCACCAGCCTCAGTCTTTCTAAGTCTGGTTGCACATCCTGGCTGCAGGTCCCCAGCATTGACAGCCAGATCGGGCGTGCCTTGGGCTTCACTAAGTGACATGGTCCATGGAGTCCATATGCCAGTCAAAAGACCTAGAAGTCGGACAGGTTACGCTTGGACCAGTGCGGATCGTGTCGCCGCTGCCTCACGTGACACCGAGTACTAAGATTTGCAGGGTGTCAGTCAGATGAGCAGATGTGGGTGGCCTCGCGCTTTGTCCAAGGCCGTGTCATTTTCCATTATCGCCCCAAGCGTCGCCAAAGTCAGTTGCGCCCATGGCGCCCAGATTGATCCTCGTCGCAGTGTCCGTGGGTCTATCATGTGACTTCCATGATACAGCTCCTAAGCTCTGCCGAATCGTTGCATGTTGTGTAGATTCATCGTACCTGGAAGGTTGATCAAGGTGTCAGAGCGAAGGGATTGCAGCGTGCTTTCGGCCTGTAGCACTCCTACTGTTGTTCAAGAACAGCTTGCCCTGGTGTACGAACCTCTCAGATCGGGAGAGATGGGGAGGACTGCGGGTTCAGATCCCTAGTGGCGTGAGTCTGTCAGACCACGTAATGGTTTCGGCAAGCTAAACAGGCCTTGCTGAGCTTCTGGACGTTTGTAGGACGTTGTGTGCGGACTTAGTCGCAGCTCGTTGAGAGGATTTGGACGGCACAAGTCGATGGACCTTGTGTTCAGCACACTTGCCTGGCTCGGATACCTTTTGAGATCCGAGGAGTGTGCAGCAGCCAGTGGCATTGTTGCCAAGAGACGAAATGGCAGCATGGTTGTCTGCTGCTCCTGGCTGAGTACAAAGAGCAGGGCTGTCACATCATCTGCAGCAGTTTTGGTTGTATCAGGCTCGAAGTTTCGTGATGAATACTGACTTTGACGTGGGCCCAATGCTCGTGATGCCGGCTTGATTCCTATACTTGTAGATGTCAGAATACTGTCAGAATACATGGTCCAAAGTTTCATGCCCCGTGGGAGAGCCTTGTGGCCAGGCAGACAAAAAGCGAACTGTCACAGAGGTGATGGATGTTATGAAGGCCGGAAGTTTGACGCGAAACCATTCACACACATAAGGCACAATCATAAGTAGCTTCCGCGCTGCCCCATTTGGATGTTGTGGTCATTGAGCTTCGCAGTTATCTGCAGCAAATGCTTGTTCTATGCTGCTGCAGGCGAACAGTGGCGGCAAAGGAACCATTCAGGCCTGACATCAAGTTGACAGCAGGTACTTCAGAATCTGGCAATGCTATCCTCCTCGAGGCTTTAGGAGACAAGATTATCCTCAGCAAGCTCTTGGAAAACCTGGGTGTTCCGCAGATGCCGGTGCAAGGGCCTCGGTTCAGTGCATGTCCTGACAAGTCCCTGATGTCCTGACAAGAGACATGTCGAGAGGCTGTTGTCAACCTACACCAAAGTAAACAAGGCGGAGGTCAGCGGAGACTTTGAGTTGATACATATTTGATGGCACTTGAAGACTTGCAACGAGGTGGAGAAGCTTGTTGCAACCTGGACATCTAGCAGCGATCCCGATGCGTATGAGGTCGTGATCAAGCCGCTGTGGCTCAGCTTTTGCACTCCAGCTCAGACATTGAGATTTGCTTCTTGCTTGGCAGAGTTGCAGCTTCTTGCCAAGGACACACCTTAGCAGCGCAACGGGCGCCATCATTATGTCAAAGGACAAGTGGCAGAAGGCCTATGAGAGACATGAAAGTCGTAGCAGATGTCGATGCGAAGCCGTGTCAAGTTGCCGGCTGAAGAATTTTGGTTGCAGGAGCAATGGTCCTCTCAGAAGCTCATCGAGCACATGGAGACCTACTTGGAGAAGAAAGCGGCCGACAGCGAGAGCGAGGTGTGATGGCTCAGATAGCTCTGGTGTCAGGCACATACCTTGCCTGATGCAGCCCGTAAACATACTGCCGGCACCGCTTACCACCCGAAATCCCTAAACACCCGCACCCTCACCCCGAAACCCACAGGAAAAATCACAGAAAAACAAAGTGATGCATCTTCGTCGTGGAAATGTATTTGCTGCAGTTTTCGTCAGCCGCACTGAAGAAACGGCTGCTGCGTCCTCGGCAGGGGTCTGCCCTGGTTCGCTTGCTCAGGGCGGCCACGCAAGCGGATGCTATGCACTGCCCTGCTGAGGGCCCTTCTTGCCACAGCACGGTTGTTTTCGGGGGGAAATGCATCTCTCCCAGGTTGGGGCTTGGAAAGGTCGGGAAAGAGGGGAAGGGGACCAGAGCTCTACTTGTTCCAGACGCACGAGGCTCGAAAGAGAACGGAGAAACCAACACTCGCAGGACATTTGTCCACTTTTCTCTGACAAGCATGATCTCGCAGAAATGCGGACCCAAGACTCGAGGCCCTCAAGTCTCTGGTTCCAGGTTTCATTATCCAGCCGCAGGGCGCTCAGACTGGGGCAGATGTGCGCAGATGAGTCAGAGAGGCTTCTTAGATGTAGCTTTGTGCCCACGTCCATCCTTCAGGCGATACCGCTCGTCGGTGGGGTTCAATTTTCCGCTCGAGCTGCGAGTTGTAACAATCTGGGGTAAGGCAGCACTCGTCAAGCAGCAGAAGTGCACCTGTTTAGCAGCGGTTTTCTTGACGTCTACTCGTGATGCAGGCCCGCGTCGGAATCTGGTGGTTTGGAGCTGAAACATGAAGGGGAGCTTGATGCAATGCAGCAGTGCAGCAGTGCCGAGCTGGTCTCAGGTGGGGCCGTGTTGCCGATCCGAAGGGGCGACGAACTACCTGGCTCGCTTTCTTCTCAGATGCCGCATGCCATGTTTTCCTGTCACCCTTCCTCAACATGCCCGAAGCAGAAATTGAGAAACTGTTGTGGCTTGAGTCAGACCAGGTGCGTGTGCCGAAGATCTCCGGTCAGCTGTCAGATGACGATGGCTGGGAGGCGAACTGTCCAGTCAGACAAGTGCAAGCAAAGGTGCTTTCGGAGGACATTAGTTTTTTTTTGCATTCTGTGTGCTTCGTTGATCTACTTGCTCGTCAGTCTGGAATGAGGAACGGAAACACACAGATTTAGTAGCCACCCTGGAACGAACCGTGTGATCTGGAGACTGCTTTGAGACTTGAATAGACTTTAAATTTCAGCCAATAGTTTCATAGCATTGCTTAGCATTGCGGAGTTTTGGGATCGATTGCTTCAGTGTCAACTGGGAGTTGTGTGAACCGGTCAAGCCGAATGGACAGTGACTGATGCTGTTGCGGGAGTTGACGAGGTGATCCACGAGCATAACGGGCAAAATCGCGGATTTGAGGCAACCCCCGAATTTTGTGCTTGCAATCTCGGCCAGTGTCCGCTCTGGCATCATGTGCTGGCAGGTTTCCCTGAAACTCTTTCGTGAAGCAATGCCGGCTATGTCCCCACCTTAGAGAGCAAAGCCATTTCGCACGTGCGCTGGCAAGATCCAGCGATGGAACTGCAACATATAAGGGACGGTGCTTGCACGAATACATCTGCCTTCAGTGAGGTCCGCCGCAGCAGAGGGCATAGCGAACGCCACGGGATCACCATTCCTGCGTACAAATCTTACAAGCATCGTGGCTGGTTTGCGGATCTTTCTTTGTACGTGCCGCGGATGAGGCTCCGATTTTTTTGTTGGCAGCAAACAGTTGCGAACCCAGCGACGCCGATAATTGAGAAGCTCCTGAAGCAGCTTGAAATATCTTGAAACATTTGAAGCACAGGTGGGGAGTGCGACTGAATGAAGTTGCTTACGGCAGCGGCAGCAAGCCGAGAGTGGTGATTTGATCTGAAAGGCTTGCACGATTGTACACCGAGCCACTTGCTCAAGGCGTAGACTACAAGCGCCGTCTCCCTGGCGGCACCTCAAAGCAAACTCGCGGTGGAACGTGGGTAGGTGGGCACGGGCCTGATGCATCGGTGCTTGGCAGTGCAACAGGTTGAAACAGCTTCATGCGCAATGCAAGTCTACTCCGAGGCTCGTGGACGACGGCCCTGCAATTGCAGAGATCCTTCAGGAGATGTTCGGAAGACCTCCCTTGCTTACATGTTTGTGCACCTTCCATCCCCTTCGCTGCTGTTAGGAGGGCTTCAGGCTGTGCCAGCGCAAGCCGCCTGCCGAGTTCCTGAAAGTGTCTGAGTCCTACCACCGCGGCACATCGTGGCATTGTGAGAACGCGTGAGAACTCGTGAGATGGGCGTGAGAATCGGTGAGAGATGTCAGATGCACCGTTCAAAGCCTAGGCTCGGAGCTCGAACTGCGCTCTATGAGGCTGAACTTTGCAGCAATTTACGCAGCCGAAGCAAAGCTCTGGCAAAGCAGGTTCCTACAAGAGGGCGACCGCAAGCTGCCTCAAAGCCAGCAGAGCCGATGATGAAGGTTGAGGCGATTGCGTCTGCAGATTTCCGTGTCTACTAACTGTTACTAACCACTAATTCTTCAGGCTCTTCCTCAGACCAGCCTTTTGCCGAGGCCGTTCCTCAGGATAAGCGTGCCATACAACTTGCAGAGGACGCGGTGCCCCAAGAAGCAGCTTAATCATACATTCTCCAACTCGGAACTATGAACTGCTGTATCATTGCACAAGGGGCTTTTTGAAGTCAGACGGTTCAGATCCGAGAGGTACAGGACTTGATTGGTCTGTACAAGAACCCGGGGAACATGCTTTCACAGACCGGGTCCTGGCCTTAAAGTTCTGGGGGCCCGAGACGGTTTCAACCCGTAGAACACGTCAGCGCCACAGGGTCCCGTTTTTGACCTTTATTGACGGGGAGTCATGTTGGAGACGGGCCAAATCCCACGTGGCCCACGTAGAAAGCAAATCCTTCCGAGGCAAGTTGCTGCATCAAGTTGTGAGACTCAGCCAGCGCAAGATGCTCCGGTTGTTCCCGCCTTAGAGTCCCTGTGACTTCAGAGCACTCATCAGGGATTAGAGTTCTTTTGCCTTTGGTTTTGCCATGTTTTGCCCGTGAGGCCTGGCTCAATAGCGCTCGAGGAGCAGGCTACCCTCGAGACAGGGCCCCAGAATTCTTGTGCAATCCGTAGACCCTTTGCTCACCAAGTCCTCACACATTGAGGTTGTGAGATGTGTCTCTCCAGGCAAGGTTGTGCGCTCTTTTTTTCTTTTGATACCTTCCCTGGGGCTTTTGTTCGCGACTGCAAGGCGTGTCGCAAGGCCCGCCCTCCTACCAGCCCCGACCAGTTTGGCGGCCATCGCTGGTCCACAGCTCAGTGGCTTCCATGAGCCCTTTGACTGAAGCTGTTGTGGGAATCAGTCTGGCAGTGCTCTCACGAAACGTATGCCTCCTGTGCTGACGCCATGTATTCTGCTGGGTATAGCCCTGTTAAGTGTTGAAAATGGTTCAACAACTCTCTACATAAACCTCCAAGGAGCGAAATGCTTTGAGTGCTGGGGCGGGGGAGGGGGGCACGTTTCGCGTGAGCACTGCTGGACTGCTCCCTCAATCGGGGCCCTTCTCCAACCCATTTCACTCTCTTGCAAGCTTTTCTATGGGCCGTCTTCGTACACTGAGAAAGAGTGCGGGTCATGTTCACTGAAGTTGGGGTTGTACTTGTAAAGCCCCAAGTGCTCTACACCAACCCCTCAGCAGAATAAAATGGTCTGAGTGCCTGGGGGGACCCCACTGTTTGTGTGAGCACAGCAGGCTGCTGAAGCCAAAAAAAGAATGGCATGTATGGTGGACCTCCCGCAGCCTACAAGAACTTGGTTGGAATTCTATATGGGTGGCTGTCAAAATGATGATCCCTTTTGGGGTACCCTAAATATTTGGTGCCGTATTATCATAGGGATCCAAAAAGGGACCATAATTTTGACAACCACCCATATAACCCTGCACGCACCGAGGGATGACGTGATGTGTTCGATGACGGCTGCACGCAAGGCAATGCAACGCTCAATCCTTCAATTTGATCCATTCGCAAACTCGGGGGTGCACATCTCGTGTGGCACCTGCCAAGAGCACCTTGGCTTGCCGACGTGCTGCCCCAATCAATCAGCGGGTGGGTTGGGTCGGTCAAAACTTTTCTGGCAGCGCTCCACACTTAAACAGAAGCAAGCTGTGGCAACGCACACGCGCGCACACAAGGATCTCTGCACGGACAGGTTCTGGCCGAGCAAACAGACACTTCCCCACCTACTTTGTCTACCCCTCCCCCAGCCTTGGTGGAATCATGGGTGGCACCATTCTACTCACCTCACCCCTGAATCGGGGCACTTCTCCCTCTCCTACCCTCCCCACCCTTGCCTTTCTCGACGAGGAGAGGAGGGTCACAGGGTAAGCTTAGCTCATGCTGAGCAGAAGGTGGCAGTTGGGCAATGGGCACCACTTCGAGAGATTTCAAGAGCTTTCCCTTGTGCCAGCCCTCCGTGCCTTCCTTTGTGGCGCCGGCTTCGGCGACGGTGGTGGCGCCCGCGCCAGTTGTGCCTGCGGCAGTGATGAAGCACCCGTGTTTTCCTCAGAGTGAACTGCTCGGCAGCAACAGGATGTCAGGATGCCTCGCGCTCACATCTGCTCAAAAATGGTGAGACATGAATTGTGGAGGTACACGACGGTCGTTGCGCCAGCAAGCCCGATCGGACGGCGTGAGGCGGAGAAAGAAACTGCTGGAAAGCCTGATGGTTCCATAATATGTGGAGAGTGTGGCGTCGCACAGAGAATGCACTGCTGTAATGTACATGAGCTCCACTTGTGCAATCAAGCCGCGAGTAGGAATCTGCTTGTTGCAGGCAAGCCCACCAGCCCGTTTCAGCCCGGTGCCGGCATCTCATACACCGGCTCCCGTAAGTGGGATATGTGTTGAACGAGTTCTCCATGATGCAGAGCTTAATTTTCAACTACACTTTCCCAAGTTTTTGCCAAAGGCAGGGCTCACGCTGTTGTTGAGGTCAGCCGGCTCGTATACCTTCAGAGGAGAGAGGGTTTTGCGTTTTGCACTTGCTTCTTTGCCATCCTGCCGTATCTGCCATGAAAAGCTGGAGTTGGAGGTGCAAGCTGAACCAAGCTGAACTGTTGTGCAAGTGAGGAGCCCCCCATCGGACTCATCGGACAAGCTTCAGCCAGCACCTCGCGCGTGCGTGCATGTGTGCGTGAGTGCATGTGCGCCTGTGTGCGTGAGTGCCTGCGTGCCTGCGTGCGTGAGTGTGTGAGTGAGTGAGTGAGTGAGTGCGTGAGTGAGTGAGTGAGTGGGTGAGTGTGTGTGTGTGTGTTGGACGACCGGATACTGAATGTATGTACAAGGGCTCTCTATACAGTATTGGTGAGTGTCTTGGCTGTCCTTTTTGGGGATGCGAGTTGCATGGTCACTAGCCCTGATACATATCCCCTGTGTGAATGCTGCCAAGTGCACGCAGGACCAAGTCTTGCCTTGCCAAAGGGCGTACGTGTGTGCAAGAGAAAAGATTGGATCTTTGTCTTGTCTCGACGTGCTTCGGACCCAGGTCTGACTGGATCAACGCGTGCTTTGCAACCAGACGTCTCTCGTTGGGTTGCAGCCGGTGGCTTTGCTACTCCAGTCTAGAAGTTTGTCTAAATTTGTCTAGCACAGCTAATGTAACGCGACGTCTCACTCCTCACATTGGGGATTGTTTTGGATTCGCTTCATTTAGCAAGATGCGTGTTCTTTATTTCGGCTGAAACTACGACATTGATCATATGGCAAGCGCTGCGTGATGGACTACAAGCTGATCTTGCAAGCGCAGCCGAAAGAGCAGGTAATTCCGTCGCAGGCTGCGTGCCATCAACATAATGCTGCTTGGGGCAAAGGTTCCCGAACCAAAGATGAATGCAGGATTCCAGGATTCTAGCTTACCTTGCGTAGCCGCGTAGCCTGCAAGATGGATTGTGGAATAATAAATGAAAGATAATGAAAGGGCGGAATGAGTCAGCAGGAGGCTGCTGAGGCTTCCCGCCCTTGCAGAGAAGTGAGTGCAATCGCTTTTTCCAGCACTGCAAAGCAGATGCTTGTGGAGACGGCAGATTGCATGGCCTTCACACGGCTCGTTTTCCAATGGCTTTGGCCGGGGCTGTCGTAAACTTTTGGGAGTTGCTGGCATCAACTGGCAGCACGCAGCCTTTGATGGAACAGCTCCGGTCCTGCTAATTCGTGGGAGGACGCGTAGACTTTAGCGACAGACCGCACCCGCAAACAAAGGTGTTTTCCGTTCTGGGAAGATCTGGGAAGCCAGGCAGAATGACTCAGAACGACTGAATGCGAGTTGCTTCTGCACATGGCAAAGTTCCTCAATTTGCCTTTGGCGGTGGTCCGCAGCTTCTGAACGAACGGCCGGTAGTGGCAAGGGCAGCGCATACAAGAAAGACAAGAGATAGCTTAGGATAACTTTCTAGAACTGTGCATATACAGTGCATCAGCTATCCACAAACACCGCAAATACGCAGCATAAGAGGAGATCGTCGTGTCGGACAGCCGGCTATAGAACATGCATTAACCCGCACCAAGCACTCCTGCAGTTGCAGCAATGCCAGAGCACTCGTCAGCGAGTAGAGTGCGACAGGCCGGGGCTCTTCGTAGAGCAGTGTCCGGGTGTTGATGTGCAAAGCTTGTGGACGTTTTGTTTTTAGGTGATTTGGTGGGATACTGCATGCTCGTAGTGTTGATTGATACTGTCCCTGTCACGTTGTGGTTCGTAGTTTCTGGCTAATGCAAGAAGTTTGGAAAACAATGCGCTTGACGCAGAGAATGTCGCGAACCACCAGAAGAGAAGCTCAAGGTCAAGAAAACACGGTGAGACGCGCACGACATTCAGCGAGTGCGTGCAGGATTGCCAGCAAATTTTGCACGCAATGTCGATCAGCAAAGGTGGCATCAGCTGATTTGGCATGATGCATCCCTAAGAGAGCCTGTGACGCGCACATGGGCATACATGTCTGCACCCGTTCGGTACAAAAATCGCACATGGGGACGAATGTTCACAACGCAAGGAGTTGATGCAAGAGGCTCTGGCCTGGCAGCCGCCATCTGTCTCCCAAGCACCTGTTGCCAACAGCAGCATGCTGGTGCAACGAATGGAGGTTGGAGTGGTGCCATGATGAAGTATGACCGACGCCAGTGCACAGCCCATCATTACAGAACAGCGGCGATGACAGTGTGATATGGCTTCTAATCCGTGCCGAGTTCTTCTTCGTTACTGGGAACATCAGATGAAAGCAGTTGGAAGTTGGAAGAAGGTAAAAGAGATGGAGCGTGTAGACAAGGGATTGTCAGGGCGACACTTCTTGAGCAAGCCTCGGACTTTGACGAGCTGTCAGCTGGAACCTAGAACGCTGCGAAATACCAGCATGGGCTTTCGTGGCTCGGGATGTGCATAAACAATCACATTAACTTTAACGCTGCGACCCGCACCGGCTGGCGTGAGTCCCTAATCGTCCCAAGCTGTCCTTGCATGGCTCGAGCCCGCTGCCTCAAAGTCAGCAGGCTGAACGCGTAAGCCCTGACGATGGGCAACCCGAAACCCTCGTAAGCTTTGAGCCCTCAAACCCTCAAAGTCCATGGCGAAGCTGAACTTTCTGCTATGTTGGACTGGCTAATTATGGACATGCTGGTGAGGTGGGACATGGGGAATTCGGAGGGCGGTTCGCGTCAAGATTCGGTGGAGCATGTCTTTCCATACAAGTCACAGACGGGCCATGCAAGTCCGTAGAGGCAAGTGGAGGGGGTGGCGGGGGTGGGGAGTGGGGGAGGTGGAGAGTGGGGGAGGGGTGGACGGGGGCGAGCTTTGTTACAGGAACCGCGGTGGGGCGGGGGTTTAGGAGGGTCCGTCATCTATGGTCGGCCCCAAATGCCGGCCAGGTTTACCCATTCGAGGCCAAACCCAAAAAAGAGTGTGCACAAACGCACCTCAGACACCTATGGCCTGGTCGACGGATTGTGGAAGCCCACTTTGCTTGTAAACGGTATGCATCTCTTGTTGGAGAGCTTCTCTAACCGGTTTGGTTCTCCACGCACTGAAAGGAAGCGCAACGCAACGTTTCAGCTCATGTGGTAGAAGGCATGTCGCATGCGTCGCAAGGCATGGATCTTTTGGCTGGTGCTTGGTTCCAGGCATGGGCGTTCTATGCAGCCTTTGAGTTGTCCTAGCAAGTCATGGCATGTCATAGCTAGAGCTGTCCGCGTTGGACTCATGGCATCAACTCCGTGCCAGGCTACATGTTTACAATGCAGCGAGCTGCTCTCAGCAAGTACCCCTGGTGTGGAAGTTTGAAGAGGTTCCGGCACTTGCAAGTCTGCGCGCAATCCTTGCAAGAACCTGGATTGGTAGACACAACTTGAACAGGGGCAGTCTCAAAATTGGACTTGCTAGAAGGAGCGTTTCAGAGTTTTGGTCCACGCAAAGACTACAGCATGTTCACGACCTACAACACTTCGGAGCCGTTGCAGAACCTGTCCGGCATGCCAGGGCAAGCGCATGGTCTACATAGCCCGAAGCCTTGACCGACCCGATTTGTATTCCTGAGCAGAAGCATTCCTCTCTTGTGATTTCCATTGCTTTTTGGCTTGAAGTGTCGAATGCAAGGTTGGAGAGTACAACATTCCGGCAGCCTCATCACCTCTGCAGGGTGGACCACTTTCCGAGGCAAAGAGTGGTGCCATCTGTGGTACCACGCTTGCCACGCCTTCAGACGGAGTCTCAGGCTGATGCTTGGATGACAGGCGCTGTCGTGCTCTGATGTTGCTTACTTCCCGACTGGATGCTCCTTGGCGCCCGCCTTAGGCTGGACAGAGTGGTCTTTGTTCGTCTTTGTACGTGTTTCAACCCAGGCTGACACCAGCAACATAACCGGTGTTGGGAACTATATGGTCCTTCCGCGCATGGCTTAGCTTAGCACAGCTGCAGGTTGAGCAAACTGTGCGCGACAGGCTCACTGCGCGTACTACCCCGTGATACGTGAGAAGGCTTGGGTGGGTGCAATCAAACAATCGCGACATCGAAACAAGGAATTCAGTCTGCAAGTCATGTTGCTGAGCCATGCGGAGGATACCATTTCCGAGAGAGTTCCGCCATCAACGCTGGCAGCTGTAAAGGTGCTTTTGATGCCGCATGTGGCTTGCTTGACCCAACTATCTTGGCAGGATCGTCTGGATGCCCTCCCAGGCCAGACGAAGGATTGCACAGATACAGCAAGCGCGTTTGCCAAGAGCCAGACTTAGCCTCGTGCAGGGTGTTCTCCATGCACGCCAAATGTTTTTCCTTTCGTCACTTTGGCCCTTAGGTCTGTCCAGACACTTCCAAACGCAACCTTCCGAAAGACTTTGCTCAACGTCTTTCATGAAGGCACCGGGGGTCGCGTGCCCGCGCAAAATAAAAGCACAGTGCGTTGAGGGTGCGTTTTCGAAGATGAGCAGCGATCAGCAAGGATGAGAGTTGTGAAGTGAACGGATGCCCGGTCTTCAAGAAGTAGATGAAGAGTCTCATGCACCTCTATGCGAGGACTGGAGTCCATCAATCCTCTGTGGTGCAATAGTCAAGGCAGCACTGCTGTTGTTGTCCACCTTGGTCCGAAGTTTGTATGCTCCTTGTGACATGTGTCTTCTGACAGGCGCAGAAAACATGGACACCTACTTGCGACGGAACTGGGGTGATCGAAAGCCTATCTTTGGTGCGACACCCATGACTGGGGAGGATAATTGCAGCTAATGCTCGTATGTTGAGGTCTCGAGGACATCAGCGTCGAATGCCAGGCCCGATCTCAATACATGCATGAAGATCTGAACCAAGGTTGGACGGTAACGCTCAGCAGCCATGTTGGCATGAGCTGGCCTGTGTTTTACACATCCTGCACATCATGCTCGTGCATGGCGCACCAGGCTTTTCAGGGGAACACCGTGCTGGACGACGATGACCTTGCCAAGTGCCACCACTGTCATTGTAGCATCCGCACATTGCTTGTCAGACTCAACTTCGCAGGTGGATGGCTGCACACATGACGCCAGAGTGGGTAGCAAAGGTGTCGAAGCTCCAGGAGGGCTGCCGCATGCTTCCGCATGCCGTGCGGAAGCGGAGCCCAGGCACTCATGTTCCTGCCAGGGCGACATGGAAGAGGTGATCAAATGTGGCGACCTAACGAAGCTGAAAGAACTCATGGTCGAACTGCAGGCTGGGTTTGTCATCTATCCTTTCTCAGTGTGGTCTGATGTTGCCCCGCGTCGGTTCTTTGGGCTCAGTCTTGCGGTATCGTTTCTTCCCCGTGTAATTCGATTTCTGTCCACATGGGGGAGACGATGGGACGATGATGGTGGCGGGCCAGCGCGAGTTTGATGTTGGTTGCAGCAAAACATGGGACCATGAGGCTTGGCAAATCATGACAAGTCAACAGCCTTCAACGTCCTTCACCACTTTCTCAATTGTCAATAGCCTTCAAAACCCTTCAACATGTTGTGGTCTATGCCCGGCCTTCTTTACAGTTGTGTCCATGTCGAAGTCTTACATGTCGCTTGCTCTTGTCCACAGCTAGATTGCTTCAGCAGGGAAACAACTTACCAGAAGTTGCAATAAGTGATTAGTTGTTTTATGACACGCTCTTGGCATTGACAGGGTCTGCCACTGGCCAGCGAAAGACACTTGCAGTACAGGCCGGCAATTCTAAGTGAGTTGGGCATACCTGTTCATGATCATTTTCATGCAGGAACGACAATTTGCACTTCGGCATCCAGAAGGCAATGGAAGCAAACCCTGGCAAGGCCGCGGGTAGTGTGTATCTTGTTGCAGATATGTATGTCGATCATGCACACGCCGGTGCGCTCGCTGGCAGACACGCAGCAAGGGTTGCTTTACAGTAGAAGCGAAAACTGTGTTTATGCTGGAAACTGATGGAAGACTTTGGGCCAGACATGATCGGCGTGCTGGGCACAAGCGGATTTGGCCAAGCCGGTCACAAGTGTCTTCTGAGCGAGTTCGTGTAATTGTTACACCGATATTTGATCATAGCCCAAAGGCCGAGATGGTATGCTTCTGGTGCAGAGTCAGAGTGCTTGCGTTCGAGGTGCAAACAAACTGTGTGCAATGCAGCTTCTCTGTTTCATTTTCAGCAACTTCCAGGCAGATTGTGTTTTTGCAGCTTGTCCGCTGATGTTTCAATCTTTTTCGCAGCTTTCTCCCACCTGTCCGCATACTCTGCGCAACTTATCTGCAGGATTCCGCAAATTTCTCGCAACTATTCCTTAGATCCAATTCGACATCCCCGAGAGACCTTTTTCAAGTACCCGGGTTCACATCGTGGGATTCTATTCGAACCTTTTCTTGGGGGGTTTTTTTGGGGTTCAGGCTTTAAAGGTTCCAGACAGAATCTGAATAGGGCCCCGGAGTCATCCGACGAGGCTGAAGGATGCTGAGAACGCCAGTAAGGAAAATCCCTGATCAGACAAACGCTACCCCTGAACGCCTGCCTCAGTTACCCCCGCAACCTGGGATGGGGTAGCCGCCGCTTTTTTTAAAGGAATTTAGACTTTACGAATTCCTTTAAGAGGCTAATGAGGCTAGCTGATATCATCTGAGGCCTCGGCGTCGTTAAAGCTTTGGGAGGAATTTCAGTGAAAGCCTGCGATGCATGGGTGCCACGTGAGGGAGCACACCAATTTCAGTAATTCTGATGCTGCGGAGTCAGGGTTTTTAGGTTAATGCCTGCGGCCTTCCTGTCTGCAGAACATGGTCTTCGTGATTCCGATTACACACTTGGTCGATGCGGCCGGCAAAATTGGCGCCGCTTGCTTGTCTTTTGATGTGCGAAGTTCGAGCACCTTGGAACCAGTTTGTTTCGGCAGGAATCATCACCCTGCTTGCGCAGAAGGTTCTTCACTCCAACAGTATTGACAACACTGCCAACTGCAGAAGCTGTTGATCTGGCGTGAAGAATGCTTCAGGACAGCATCCAGGCAGTGAGGCAGACAACGCCATCTGGATGTCAGGCAGAATTTGGCTGCACAAAATCAGTTTGTTTAGCTGTGCTGGCATGTCTCTTTGTCGGCAGGTTGTCTGCATATCGAGTAGTTGGCGATATGGAACAAGCCAAGCTTCACACGTGAAAGACTTGAGCACCGTTAGCAGGAGATGCCATCTCTAGCGTTAGGCTGACATCTGGGCCCACTTCGCATCTACAGCCACGTACCATCACGCCGAAGCTCAGTCTCGCTGCAGGACTGTCACAAGTCCCTAGCAGCAATAGAGCAGCTACAAGAGAAACAGGATCACAGCACGCAGCGACTTCGCAGAAGCCTTTCTGCAGTGAGTGACGTTTTCAGGTAACCAGGTAGGTGCCGAGTGCTGCGAAGCCAACCAACGCCAAAAGATGATGAGAGTCAGCGTAAACCTCTCTGCACGAGACCGGCACTTGCTTGCCGAATGCAAAGCGATACGCAGCGGTCAAAACCGCTGATGGACTCTGTTCTTGTGTTGTGCCGTGTTTGGTCAGGTGCGGTATGTTGTGAGACGAAGCCTGCTCGTAGCTAGTTCCAGCAAACACTCCGTAGCCGCAGCCTAAGATTTTCCTGGCAATGCCTTGAACGCGGAGGCCTCCAGCTGGCAAGCGCCGGGAGCAGCAGCGGAGAGACCCAGACCATTTGTTGTGCTCATTTGTGCTCGTTCTCAAGTCTGCTCTTCAATGCCAATCGAGGCTTTGGATCATTGTCTAAAGCCGCCTGCACAGGCTGAAACATGTCTTTCATGGAAGTAGAGCTTGCCTTACAAAAGCAGTCCGGAAAGTGTGCTGCAGACTTGCAGCAGCTGTATCTATCTCTGACGCTTTTCTGTCACATTCCCACTTGACTGCCAGTCGCAGCCGCCTTCGTGCATTCAGTTCGAGAAGCAGTTTGGCGACATACTCGGCAAGGAGAGCGCAGTTCTGCACTTTTCCTAGTCGAATGGCGTTCTGGAGGCTTTTGAGCTCGATGGTTGTTGCCATGTTGTTGCCCATAACGTGGTAACTATGTTCGTGAGTGGCTGGTTTCAGTCGACGTCTCCCGAGCCACGATGGCCGCCTCTTCAGGATGTACTGCATGGAAGGAAGGTGCAGCCTGGCCCACAGTGTGACACTCAGCCCTTGACGCCACTTCGGATCTCAACATTGCAGAGCGGAGCTTCGTCAGATCAGCAGAGCTCAGTTGCACCGAATGTGTGAACTCCAGCGATTCTTGCAGCTGCGAGGCAGGTCTTTCCTTTCGCCACCTTTAGCTCTAGCCAGCTTTAGCCAGCTTTCGCACATGTACACCACGCGCCCAATCTGTATGGTGACTGTAGGACGTCCAGAAAATTGGGACGTATTAATGGTCCGTGACAGGGATCGCTCAATTTCCATCACATGTCCCTGAGGATCAAGCAAGACGCTGCGCGACCCGCTTCATTGCATGCATGACACTCTGCAACAGATGCTGTGGTCCGGCTACGACAACTTCGTGAACTTGTGCGAAAGCACGCAAGTTGCAATGCCCTCAGACTTGCGCAGCAATGCACTACAATGCATGTTTGCTGGTGAAGAAGTTGAACTAGGTCTGTTTTCGGCTGCGCGTGTTGTGCGGTACGATGTTCTACGAACCACCTGCGCACATGCATGGTCGGTCGGACATGCAGGACGGCGTGCACGGACGTGTGTACTATTTGGCCGTGACCTGAGCTGGCAGAGTGGCCTTGAAAAACGTGATATCAGATGCGGCTGTCCGCAGATTTCGTGACTGCGCAGATGTTCAAACAAGAAGCTCTGCTTAGCTCAAAGTTTGCAGGACATGATTCGAAATCCTGGCTCCACCAGACACGGGCCGCAGACACAGTGAGTATGATGTGCTTTTGAATTCCAGAAGCCCTGGGCGCACCTTACTTTAGGACAGCTTTGGCAGAGAAAATTGCGTCGACCTCAGCGAGATGGCGTTCGTATGTCATGAGCCTGAGCCACCTGTGCTTGATAACCAAATAGGTTGGGGGATTGTACCAGAACTGCTATGCAAACAGCTGGGGACTCGAGCGTTGAGCTATTGCACTGCTGGTAGCCTTTTGATGTTCTTGTTGGAAGCACATCATTGCTGGGCACAGGTTGCGAAATTCCGATCATCCAGCAAATGGCTACGAGAAACTGGTACAAGAACGACCCATCCCTGGATCTGGGCTCCGTAACCGTCAGGCTCCTCTCCCTTCTTTTCACACCAATGATGATCATGGTTCTTGCTGCTGCGACTCGTGCCAGGAGGCTGGATCAGCCCTTCGGCACAACGGGAGCTGCAGGACCAGGTGCTGTATGTCCTTCAAGGACTTCAGGGTAAGCCCTGAAGGTAGAAACCTTCACACTCTACTCCGTAGTTGCAAGAATTGCAAGATCAACCTTGGGGGTCTGATATCCAATACGGCCAGCGGCAGGAGTTATGTCACCAGATCATTCGATCATTCGGGCTTCTTTTGCGTTAGGGCTGCATGGTTGGGATTGAACTGGGTATCGTGTTGGTCTTTGATGGTAACGTCACAGCTTCATGTTGACCAGGTGGAGTGCCATGGCCAGATGCTGAGAGATCAGTTGTGAAGCCACGGTGTTTTGGTAGCTTTGTGGTTTACTCCTGCTTTCCTCCTACCTTTCTTGGCCACGAACCGCTTGCACAGGTACTTGAACAATACAGTTTCAGCTCATGGACGAACCAGCGAAATCCAGAGCAATCACAGATGCAGATTTGACAGTGCTGAGGAAGGATTAATGACTGCCGTAAACAGCTAGCTTAGGAACAGCCTTTTCCCCTCCTCGATCCCACTCCGCAAAGGTGGCCCTGGGTCATTTTGGCCATTGCAGTGGGTCTATGCATCGCTTGTTTAGTCAGGCGGGTCAGGCGCAGTGTGGTCGCGGTTGGTGCAAAACAGGATCTGGACATGACAGGTGGTTCAGGATGCCCAAGCAAAACCCGAGTGCCGCAACCTTATTTCCTGCTCATGTTGTGGCCCATCTCGAGGCTTAGTGAGGCTTATCTTGCCATCTTGCAATGGTGCCAGTCAAATAGCTCCCCACAGAATTTTAACGCTACGCGACCCGCCTCGGCCCGGCCCGGCGCATCCGCGTGAGCATGGTGATTCTGCAGCGCCCAAGTCGCTGGACCCCAAGCAATAAGGGTTGGGTTTAGGGTTTAGGGTTTTGGGGTTCCTGGTTTAGGGTGGGTTGAGGGTTAGTTTAGGGTTGAGGGCTTAGGGCTCAAGGTTCACTGTTTGGGGTTTAGGGTTTTTGGGAGAGGTTCAGGGCTTAGACGGTTGAGCCGCGGGCCCTTCAAAGCAAAAGGGAGGGGGGAGGGGGGCGGGGCCTGCTGGGCTTCGACTGCCCTGGTCCTGGCGACCGTCCGCTTTCAGATCGTAGTCGCCTACGGGGGGTACCCATTCCAGGCAACAAAAAGGGGATCGGCGTGTGGTTTTGGGTTTGGGGGAGGATTTGGAGGGGGGTGCCCGACTCTCCTAGACTCGCACATCCACAAAAAATCCCAGAGTATGGTGGAGTGCTGACCCCGAGAGATCCGAGAGTTTCGCAGAGTATCCCTGTGGAGCGCCGGCCCCCAATACAATCCTGCACAGAGATCCCGCCTTTCTCCTGCTCAGATGCGCAAGTCCAGCAGCTGGGGCAGCTGGGTATTGGGCTTAGATGCGTTTTGAGCGTGTGCCCCCGGCCGCAAAAGTTCCAGAGCCATCTGTATCTGCTCATGCTTTTTTGACAGGCGGATACGGGCATGAGCGAGAAGGCAGACTCTGCCCCACGTGTGCAATGTGTGCTTGTTCAGACGCTGTGCCAGGGAGACATGGCCGAGATGCAGCCTCTGAAGCATCAACCGATGCCACCCATGCCTATGCGCCAATCTTACATGAGGGGGACATCAGGATGATCAATCACTTTGTCTTTGGCCACATGTCCCTGTTTCACCAAGTCCTGAAATATTAACAGGCGAGTTGCAGAAGGAAGCTGGGCTATGTCGGATGCCTCCTCAGCCATACCACGTCCGCCACCACGTCCAGCAGTTTCCCACGTAGCTGCTGCTGCATCTGAGGATAAGCCGCAGATGGCTAGAGATGTGTCGGAAAGCTCGAGTCGTCCTGGCTTTGTGACACCATGCTTGCTTGCACCCTAGCTGAGGCAGGACTTGCCAACACTGCCGACTGACGTGGACATACAGATGCCTGACATGCAACAGCATGGTCCACAGCCGTGTGCATCTGCTATTACATCTGTGTGCTTGGCATGCTTTGCCTATGGAAGCGACCAAGAATCAACCTGCTAAAGCAGGTTTGCTTAGCTCGAGGGCCCCTTGCCACACGCATTGGGGTGGTCAGGGGCCTTGAACCTCATCCAGCATCACCGGCGAGTCCATCCATGCATTGATTCATCGGAACCGACTTAGACTCGTCATGCCGGCCCGTCTTCAGAAACTTCCCCCACCACCATCGTCCTAGTTTGGTCCTGCCACGCTCGCCAACAATCTGTGATGTGAAAGCAAGGTTGGGCTGCGTCGAGCCAGTTTTTGTCTTGGAAGGGCCTTACCCCATTCCGGACAGGGCGTTCAGAAAAGCGGCGAAGATCAAAGCTTCAAACGGAACACAGGGAGCTGAACCAGGTCCTGTGAATCAGCGAAAACGCTCCTACGATTCGCTTTCTAGGGCAGTACTGCGGCAGTACATTATCGGCTTACAAAGTCCGCTCCAAGTTAGTCAGGAGCTTAGGTTCGGACTTAGGCGATGCCCCAAAACTTCCAACCCTCAGAGTTCGCAAAGTCCAAAGGGCCTGCGTTTCACCCCAGGTTTGCAGGGCCAGCTAGATCTTTGCGGCTGCCTTGGAGGATGTTGTGGAAATCCTGAGAATCACTGAGCAGCGCCTGAGCACGTGAGCAACTTCAGGGCTCAACTTTGAAAGGAGACTGAAGGAGGGCAAGGAAGATCATGGAAGAGCATCGCGGATCATCACGGTGGGCGTTCGGCACTGAGGTCCGGTCACCGGCGGGTCATCAGCCAACCTCGTGCAGACCTTTCCTTCCAGGATTATCTCCAGCATTTTCCCATGTAGTATAGGCAGCATGTAGGCTCCAACGGAGGACATGTTTCGTCATGAGTCATGCAAGGTGCCGCGATGCCGGCAGCGCTGCGAGCCTACTGGGCTACTCATGTCATGTTGTCAATTGTGCAGTTTGTGTCTGAATTGGTTTTATTCAGCACTAATTCTGATCTCCAATGAATCACGCGCCACCGGTGCCATCACGTGCCCTCACGTGCCATCACGCTAGATGGACACCAATCGCAATCGATTTAGTTTGCATGCTTTACGCTGCTCAAGGAGATCAGCTAGTAGGCGATCCCGCACTATAGCATGTACTGACATTTGAGCGAATGCCCTCATCATAAACCACTGACGGTCCAGAATAGTGTAACGGGTGGTGTTTGACTTCCTTCATGAGACTTGTTGCACTGCTTTAGTGGGGGCCCCCTGTTTAAAGTCATATTGGCCGGGCTATGCAGGACACCCTGACTGTTTGGGGTTGCAGAGTGGGGTCCGCAATGCGCGCCTTTAAAATCAATTGCCGGGCATCGCTGTCCCTTTTAACTTACACACACTCACTCCTCCCTATTACAATCATATGAAATTTGTGGACTGTATAAACAGAGGGAGAAGTGGCTTCGACTGTCCTGGAGGGGGGGGCACACACTAAAGCAGGTGCAACATGAGCGTCAACCCACTTGGGCACTCCATTGACAGGTAGCGCTGACAACAGCCGCAAATGGTTAATGTGATGTGAGCTTGTAAATTGATCTTTTCGAGCCGCGCAAAAAAGTTTCATCAAGCCGGGCCGATGCATGCAGACCAGGTCAAAACTGCTTAGTAGCATTTCAGATGAAGAGTACAGCTCACATGAAGGCTGCATCCTGAAGCGCACATGAAGCGCACATGAATCAACGGAAAAAGCAGCAGGGAATGAAAAGCCAAGGGTGAGAGGGCAACGATGGGACATTCTGCACGACATCCTCGGCTCTCGGGGTTGGAGACAATTTCCTGGTTTACAGATGTTCAAAGGAAAAGCCCGAGTTGAAACTTGATGGTTCAAGTGTTCCCGGTTGGGTCGCCTTCTCACTCTTGAGCTGCAGAGGATCTGCAGAGCTATGAGTTGGTGCATGAGTCATGACATATGAGGCTCTGGTTCGGCTAGCTACCTTTGATTGGTTCATTTGATTCAGCAGTTAGGTGACGTTCGGCGTACTGATTGGAAATCCCAGGCCCCAAATGATGCCAGCGATGCCAGCTGCACCAGCCGCTCCCGTCCAGTATTCACAGTACTCTCTGCCTCTGCAGAACAGCAGAGCAATGCCGCTGCCTCGTGGATGGTCCGTTGCTGTCCAGGATGTCACAGTTCTCGCAGTCCAGGATGTCACTGCTCTCGCAAAGGCAAGTGCCGAGCGTGTACACCGGCAGCCCTACTTCTGGCACAAGCTTGCAAGGATACCAGGGCAGCATTGCCATGTGCCCCGACAGCATTTCTCAGCTGGTCATCTCATGTCATCTCCCACAGCGCAACGGGCTTGCCGCAAGCCCACCGGATTGCCGAGTAAGGCAAATCAAACCAAGCAGACCTACCCAACATTTCAGTCATTGCTGTTTTGGATGGGATTGCAGCTCTGCTGTGGTTCACTGTGGTTCAGGCCGGGCATGCAGGTTGCACCAGCGCAAATTCTTTCCGGGACCCCGACTGGTGATGGATCCTTGCTTGTCGGGGCCCTGGAGTCTGCAACGTCTCCTTGTAGCGAACACTGCTAGCGGAATCAGAAGTCAGGCCGCAGCAAGCATCCGAGTCACAGCTGTTGCTCATGTGCAATCACGGAGTCCACAGTAAGGTTCAATAAGGAGTCCTCCTAAAAGAATTGAGGCTTTGTCGCAGCACATGGCCTCGCAAATCGAGAGCTCTGGAGCAGAGGTCCTCTGGAAAGTGTTGCGTGACGTGGACGGACGCGATGTGAAACCCAGGCGATTCGAAGCCTGAGGCATGGCCAGTACCAAGCAGTGAGTGGGCTGGCAGCTCACACCGTCGCACACTGTCGCATAACCTCAAGCATTTCTCACGATGCAGCGCCCGATCATGCTGAACATGTGCAAGCCCTCTGAGGCCGCAGCCATCATACATGCCGCAGCCGTCATACATGCCGCAGCAGACCCCGCAGTATCAGCCAGTTGCACAGGCCTGTGCAGTGTTAGGCGGCAGCTTTTGGCTCCACATGTGTACACACCTTGG